AGAAAGAAAGAAAGAAAGAAAGGATGAGCAAGCGAAAGAAAGAAAAAAGGAGAGAGAGGAAGGAAGGAAGGAAGGAAGGAAGGAAGGAAGGAAGGAAGGAAGGAAGGAAGGAAGGAAGGAAGGAGAAAGTCCCAACTTCAGTCTGATTAGAGACATTAAGTTTAAATTATTTTCCTGTCTTTGCACATATAACAGCTAGAATCCTGTTGTGTAACTTTTAGCAGCAAAACCCCATTTGGTAAAGGAACTTCCATCAGGCAATCCTGTGTTTCAAGCCAAGCTATGCAGCTCAGAACAGAACAGAGAGCACCTATGGAGATTTCTTAGCTTAGGGCAATTCATGCCTAAAAGTTACGCCTTTCGCATATTGGGTGTCAGCCAATATTTTATACGTAGCCTTCTTCAAGCCTCACCTGGAGTGCTCTGTTCAGGTCTGGGCGCCGCAGTTGAAGGATACAGACAATCTAGAATGTGCCCACAAGAAGGGAGAGGATGAGTGGCCTGGAAGCTCCATATTGGGGGGGGGGGTGCCTGCGTTTAATCTTGAGCAGAAAAGGGCCAGAGATCATACGGCGGCTGTTCTTAAGCACCACCAGGTTGCCCCTGACCTGCGGGGACCCTATGAAGTAGGGACTGCCAAATCATCCTCTTAATTCTCAGCCCTGCTCAGCTCTTGCAGATCCATGCCCGTGGCTTCTTTTAAGGAGCTGATCCATCTCACATTTGGTCTTCCTCTTTTCCTGCTGCCTTCCACCTTTCCCGGCATTATTTTCTTTGCCAGCAAGTTTTGTCTTCTCATGATGCTCCCAAAATAGTGTACTCTTAGACATTAGTGTAGTGTCATTTTTGCTGCCAGGGAGAATTCAGGCTTGATTTGGGCTAGAATCCACTTATTTGTTTTTCTGATGGTCCATGTTCTCATAAAGCTTTCCTCCATCGCCATAGTCTGAATGCCTTGATTTTTATCCACTCTTTCTTGTCCAGCTCCTATGCCTGTGCAGTCATGAAGAATACCATCCTAGGGCTGATCTTGGCCTCCCTCTCCACTGACACATCCTTACAGGTAAAACATTTTCTAGTTCCTTCGTGGCTGCCCTTGGGATTTATTGAGCGCCATCTCCATTTGGATAGACGACTGAACTGAGGTACAGGCAATATTTGAACAATATAAACTCATTCATCATCCATACCGAATATTGTCATTATATTATAGCTATCGTCAAGGATTTGAAGGGCTGCCGTTATACAAGATGGAGCAAACTGGCCTTCTGTTGTTCCAGAGAGTAGAGTTCATTTGGATTCAACTGACAAGTAGAAAATGTTTTGTCAAACCTTAGGAAGAACTTCCTAATGGCAGCAGCTTTTTGACCATGGAATGGAGTACCTCGTGGAAAATGGCAGACTTCCTTGCCTTAGACATTGTTCTTGAAGAAAGGTGGAACAGCCGTCTGTCGGGAATGCCTTCGCTCTACGTTTTATGCACCAGAGGGCCATATCAGATGGCCCAATCTTTGCTGGCTCTACAATTCTACAAATTTATGAAAACAAAGGAATTTACTTATGAGTAGACATGCTTAGGGCCGCACAATGAATTCAGCAGGGATGTCAATCTTCATTTTCACGTCAACAGTGCTTTCCCCATTACCCCACCTGCTCGACAAAAAAGAGGAAACAAACCAGCAAAGATAACATTGATTTTAATAAACGATCAGTCCTTAAAATAACTTGAAGCCATTAAAAAAAACCTAAAACCCAGGTCAATCATTCTGTGCCAGCGATCCGAGATGTTAAAATCAGCCCCTTCTTCCTCCAGATTGAATGCGTTCATATTTTGACAGCTTAAACAGCAGGTTTATGCCAAGGAAGAAGGCTTATAGGTGACAATTGTCAGGGTAAGGAAGAGTTGCTTAGTGATAATGGTGATCCATAAAACAACACCAGCATCTCAGTTATTGAGTAAACCAATCAATGAGTTCTCAGAAGGGTAAAGACAGAAAATGGGAAGATTCCTAAAAGTAGACTTGAATATGATTTGCTAAGGAATAGCAAGCCCTTCTCCCCCTTGCTGGCTTTCTTATTTGCAAATGTGGAGCAGAAGGATGGAGAGTGACCTAGAAATTTATCAAACGGATGCAAAAAATAATAATTAAAAAACGCCCAGGAGCTGTGGAGCAACAGGAAACAGAATCTCTGCATCTGCACCCAGTGTGACGAGCTGCTGCTCCATGAAAGAATCTAAAACCAATCCCTCCTTTTTTTTCCTCCAATAAAAGGTGTGTTTGGGAATTTCAAGAAACTCAAAGGCATTTTTCTCCAAATGAATACAGAGGAAAAAGGAGGGGAAGAAAAAAGGGAGACAGGTCTTTAAGTTTAGATCTTTGTTTGGGAAGCAAATGAGACGATTGCTAAGGCTCTTCCATTTTGGGGGGTGGGTGGGTAGCCCTAAAAAGGAAATCAACGTGTGCTGATTTTTTAAATACAAAATAGGCCTTGCCCGAAATGGGGACCACCACACCCCACCTGGATCGTGGTGGATCCTTTACTCTTCCTACATGTAGGAAGCCAGTTTAGGCTTGCTCAAGTTCCACCAGGACTCCATCACAGTCTTTCGGATGGAGAAAGACCACCGGTTTCCCGTGGGCACCTATTTGGGGTTCTTCGCTCAATATACGGATTTTCTTCTCTCTTAGTTCCGCCACAGCATCTGTAATATTGTCCACCTTGAAAAAAAGAAGAGAAGTGTGTTGAACAAGCATCGCCCACAGTATGTTTCACAACACGGCAGAAACAATACCAAACCTGAGTGGGTTGGAAGGTTGGTCTGTAATGAAAACAAGAGCAGAGGGTTGACAAACAGTCTGTACTTTGAAGACACAACGCGTAGCCTTTTATTTCTGGCCTGCAAGCAGTCTCATGATAAGCTCTTTTTTTTTTTTGAAACCTACCTTAATGAGGGCTAGGAACTTGGTTATTTAAATATGATTGAGAAATCAGAATGAAATGTGTTGCTTCTACATGGAATAAAACATGCAGCATTTTCATTTTTTTAAAAAAAGCTTTCCAACAGAAAATGCAAGGTGCCAAATACCTCGATACAGATATGATGCATCCCGCCTGCCTTGTTTTTTTGCAAGAATCCAGAAATTGGGCTTTTCTCTCCCAGTGGGTGCAAGAGTTCGAGTTTTGTGTTTCCCAGCTCCACAAAGACTGTGTAAACCCCGTGGTCGGGAAGGGGAACGGGATCGCTGATTTGAGCTCCCAGCACATCCTTGTAAAAAGAGGCGGCCTTTTCCAGATCTGGCACGGCGATCGCCACGTGGTTGAGGCGGCCCAGCTTCCACAACAAGCACGGGGTCTTCTGGAGCACAGAACTGGAAAGCGAAAATGTTCGTCCCATTCGAAGTCTTGTTGGCAAGCGAAAAGCGAAAAGCCCTGGGAAGGAAAGACCAGTCAGGAAACATTTTACAATCCCTTTGCATTAAACAGCAAATCAATGCACCATTTCTCGCACCCCATGCCACCCCTCCAAGTCATTATTGTAAGGAATCATGTTGCAATGCCAGGCAACGATGCAGAAAGAAGACGGCAGAAGAGTCCAAAAACATCTTCCTGACCGTTGCAAAACTCATTGAGGTAGCTGGCGTAGTCCTGCAGTGATACCAAATCCTATACCCGTCTCCTTCAAAATAAGTCCCACTCCATTCGGGGCAGACTTGTGACTCTGAAAGCCCTCTGTTGCAACCTCCTCTCTGCCACAGACTCACGAGGTGGCCTCTGGCAACTCACTCACCCTTAGCCTCAGTTTCCCCATCCGGAAGCTGGGCACAATACGACAGCAATATTTTCGGGGCAACAATTAGATAATGCAGGTGAAGAATGCTGAACCATCCAAGCAGCACTACCTTTTAGGAGAAAGTGAGGTATAAATATAATAACAAACAAACGTTTCAGCCTTTGCTCAGCTGCGGATGACTCAAAACTCTATAATGGGATTACTAAAACCTCATTAAAATGTCTCGCTGTATTACAATTACTTGCCAGGAGACACTATGAGCCATAATCGGGCTTCAGCTCTGCTAAGCTTGACGATCTCCTTCCGCAGAGATGCTGCATCTCAGAAAGTTTGAGATTCCTAACTTTAAGACCACCTTAAAGTTTTCCAAGAGAAAACCCCTGGTGTTTGTCTCCGGGGCTGTAAAGCATGCTGCCAAATGCCGGATGTTTGACATTTGCTCATGTGCTAAATGCGAATATGCATCCCTTTCAGAATCTCCTGGCTCCAAATAAAGCATGCGCCTTCGTATCTTGTTTGCCTTCTTTACAACGGACGAATGTTCAATAGGAGAGCATCGCCACCCGGTTTTCCAAGAGGCCCAAGGCAGCATAGTCAGGGGGAAGCAAAACCAGGCACCCCCACCCAAATTTTGGGCATTCCTGGGTTGGGTGAAAGCTGGAAGGGAAACATCAGCATGGAGGGCGTCCCCCATGAGCTCCTGATAGGCAAACGGTCTTGAAGGAATGGAAGAAGAAACCAAATGGAAACGGCAGATTTCCACTTTCAGTGAAAAACTGCCACAGTCTGGGAGCGAGGGGTACAATAAGGTGGCTGCTAATAAGGTGGTTGTCTTTTAAAGGATAGGGATGATGCATGTAGGATGTTTTCAGACCCGTCTTTGTGGCTTCATGCTTCACAAAGGCTAAATATTATATCTAAAATTGTTGGAAGCTTTTGGGGGTTTTTTTAGGGGGTGGGAGAGATGATTGTGAAGATGATATGATAATACAGTCCAGACAAGGAGGTTCTTTGCCTTCTCTTACAGCAGTTAAACAGAGTGGCTTCTTTGCAACCGACGCAGAGGGCAGGGAAACCAAGAGGATCTCTTTGGTCAAAGGTAGAATTAAATGTATGCCCTGACAGCTATTGATTTAGAGAGCTCAAAGATGAGAGTTGGGGAAGTCACAACAGCAGAAGCAACGCCCTGGTTCAAAAATTCAGGCTTCACACCGGAGAGGACTTTTGGCCACCTTGCCATGGGATCGTGGGTGGGGATGGACGGGCTCTGTCCTTTCCATCACAGGGCCTTCTTTTCCAGGGTCCCGAGGGAAGGGGGCACCCGTGTGGATCCTCAAGAGGTCGGCGGATCCGGACCAAATGCTCATCAGGGCATCAAAGGTCAACAAAAGCTGCGGCGGGGGAAAAATTAGGTTGGGATGGAAAGGAAGGTTCAATGCAAAACAAGCAAGTTTAGGGTGTAGGAGGATGGGTCCCTTCAAAATACATTCAACGAGAATTTGAAATTTAAAAATTGGAGGGGGGGAGGAGAAAGAAAGGAAAAAAGGGAGGGAGGGTGGCTTGCCCCTGTTCATCTTGAAAGCAATGGACATGGCTTCTTCTTTGTTTTCTGACCAGGCGCTCAGTCCTGTCCCCCCCCCCGCATCTCATATCCAAGCAGCCTGAAAGCTTTCTCCTGAGCACGGCAAGAGGCAGGACTCATTAATGTCCCCAAGGGTGCAGCCACACCATTAATTGCCCCCATCCTGCGCCCACTCCCAGCCGTTGTGGTTAGAAATTCAAGGCAGAAGACGCCACTTTCCTTATGACTACAGAGTTTGGCAGAATCCCACCCCAAAGGGAGACGAAGGGGTACTTTGGAACATATGGTGCAATTCTTGGGGTGGGGGCGAGAGGGGGGGAGAAAGAAAACATCCCACCCTCACATACTGAAGTTTCAAGAGGCGATTTTGCCCAAACAGGAGGACAAACAGTGGGTCTATCCGTTTAAAGAAGGCCCAACATCTGATGTCCAGAAAAAATGGCATTCAAAGGGACAAGCTTAAAATGAAATCTGAAAATATTATTATTCCTAAGTCTTTGGATGAATGGGAGTACAATTCTAGATTCACTCTGCAAGGTCTCCTGAAATCATTGCTTGGGGATGGGGGGAAGAGGGCAGTAATACAACACAGTATTTTTAAAAGCTACACACAAAAGGAATAAATAAATTCAAAAGGAATGAAACAGTAAGTCAGACAAGAGAACGGAGAAGAACAGCTTGTGGGAAGCATCTCTCCAAACTGAGTAAGCAGGCAACAGCATTGGGAAGAGATTCCGTTTTAATTAATTGTAAAATGATGATAATGGGGTGTAACAGTTGCTCGTCTGTAAAGTCTGTGTCCTTATGCTGAGGGTTGAAGGCTCAATCCCTTGTGCTTCCAGTTGAAAATATCAGAAACTAGGTGATGGGAAACACCTCTGCTAGTGTTTGGATAATTGCCTCTAGTTAAAAAAGAAAAGCCTAGTCTATATGGGCAAACAGTGTAAGCTATTACAGGAATGTACAAAAGTCGTCCTAATATCACGTAAATGGTAATAATGTCTCGTAGGTCCCAGTTCTTGAAGCCACCATAGTAGCTCAGAGTGTGCTGCTGCAACTAAAAAGGCAAACACAATGTTTTGGTAGATTAAGAAGAAGGGATTGGCAATAAAACCACAAAGCCTACAATACTACTTTATACAATGTTATTGTATACAAGGAGCGTCGGCTAAACAAGGTGCGTAGTTTTGGTCTCCAAATCTGAGCAGGGATGTGATAGAGCTGGAAGAAGCGTAGGAGAGGGCACTTAAAAATGGCAAGCAGGATCCCAACCACACGGCCCCAGATATTGCTGAAACTCAGTTCCCACAAGCTCCAGTTAAGAGTTTTCAGTCATCAGAAATTCTGGGAGCAGAAGTCCAATACCTAGAGACCCAAGTTTGGGGTCCTTTGTGCAATAAGAAACAGGGGAGATAAGATAGCTAAGCAGGGGGAGAAACTACACCAGGATAAACCACTGTGAAGAGAAAACTGTCACTCCGTTTATTTTTCTTGTTGTTTGAATCTGAAATCATTCAAACAATTCTCACTGGCGATAATTTCACGAAACGCATCTGGACCTTTACTTTTTTGCAATGGACCTGCGGAACTACTTGCCACAAGATGCGATCGTGCCCTTTGGCTTAAATGGATCTTTATTTGAAACATACTACTGTACAAGGACATTAAAAAGTGAGAGATATTGTAACTATGAGCATTTCAGAGAAGTATACTTTTTAACAATAGCTCTCAAAGACAAGCATGAAGGGAAACAGACCATCTGCCTGGCTGTGTTCAAAACACAAAGCTGAATGTTGCTCTCAGCCAGCAAATCAAATCTCAGATATCTGACATACTATTTTTTTTTCCAAAACAACTCAAGCAGAGATATAATTTACTTATTATATTTTTACCCTGCCTTTCTACAACAGGAACCGGCCCCATGTCACCCTGCGCCCCTTCACAACGAAGACTTGAATCTGGATCTCCCTAAAATCTTAGTCCAAATTCAGAGTTTCAATGCTTGGAAGAGGTTCAAAAAAGATAAAACAGAAGACAATCTCTTTAGGATGGGTGGAAGGAACGGGGAGTGTTTAGCCTCGTAGCATTGCTAAATATCGTGGGGTATAATATCTCCGGCGAAGTGGAGCCCAGCATCCCTTCCAAAACAGACAGGTGCTCCGTAAATATATCCCTTCTCTGCTTATATAACCCGCATTGTGGAGCTTGACATAATTCTGTCCTGTCTCACCATGTTTTTGAAAGCTTGTGACTGGAGATTAAGGATGCGCACAAATGCATTTAATTTTAAAAGGGTAAACATGCCGCACAAAAGCACAGAGGAAGGAAGGGCCAGTTAGGAATCGTGTAGAAGCCTAGCCCCCTTTTTAGAAATTCACCAGCTGTGTAGATAACAAAGATAGATCATTAATCACCAAACATGCCCCTGGAACAGATAGCGGGCCTGTGAATTCTGCCCAAAACAGAGACTTTGAACAATCCTCTTTCGCATCTATTTATTACTCCTCTGGCTGAAATGCTCGCTTCTCTGAAACCTCTCCAATGGTTATAACAACTCACTTTCCTCCGAACGATACAAAGGATTAAAATACGCACAAACACGTTACATGCAGGACACGTGGAAGCAGCTTGATCTGCTGCTCAAAAGCATCTATGTCGGTGTGTGTGTGTGTGTGAAAGAGGTAGCTGTAGCTTGCAATCCTGACTCCCTTTCCTTGGAAGTGGAGCTGAATACAATGGGAGCTTTCCCGCCTCCCCCCCCAAAATAAACCGCTACAGAACTGTGCTCGGAGACTACCTGCAGAAATTCTGCTTATCAAAGGGAAGGACAGAAGACTACATCTAAGGAATCTGGAAAGCCACCCCAGGACATGGAAAAGTTAACAAAGAATGCCTGTTTTCTGAGACTCAGCTGTTAACAGACAATTTCTTATTTGGGAAATCAGATTTCTAGTCCTTATGAGAGGGTTATAAAGAAAAACATGGATACCCCCTCGGCGTAGGTTACGATATACTTTCAGATACAAAACAGGTAGGGCACACAGCCTGCAAGCCATGTTTATCATTAAAATAACAAAAAAAGTGAGCAACAATAGATAAAACCTCAATGAAAGCACACCATGCACTAAACCTAGGTATACAATGGTTGAAATAACTAAATATTTCAAAGCATTGTAACAGGTAGCAAAGAAGCAGCCTGCCTCTGTCAGCATATGGCATCCCAAGGATGCAGCAGCACCACCCCCAAAAAAGCCACCGTTCCTCTTACTTAATAATGCCATGTCTCTTACGGAGGCACCGCTCAGGACAGGCATATTCATTCGTTTGGAACTGATCAAAAGTTATTTAATCTTGGTCATAGGTTTTAAAAAAAGGATCAGCTTAAGACTTTGACACGCTACTGAAGAGCGGTGGACAGGGTTAGCCCATTTACAGCTTTACAAAACAAACAAAACAAAAAACCCAGAGGCATCAATGCACGTGTTATCCTAGTTTGACAGGTTTCTGATCTCCTTTATGACATTCTTCTCAACTTGTTCTGAAACGATTTCTCCTGCCATTTTGTGCTTCTTTCCTGACCACTTTTACAACCCAGACATGTTTCTTCGAAGTGCAGGTGCAAAGACGAGAGAACCAACCCATGCTTTATTTTACATTTTCCAATTCCTCCACAGCTGTGGAAATCCAGATGTGCCAGACTTAAATTATGCGTTTTGTGAGTGAGGTTTCCAAAACAAAAAACCCACAGGCATCAATGCACGTGTTATCTCAGTAAGACAGGTTTCCGATCTCCTGTATGACACATGACATTCTCCTCAACTTGTCCTGAAACGATTTCTCCTGCCATTTTCTGCTTCTTTCCTGACCACTTTTACAAATTAAATTATGCGTTTTGTGAGTGAGGTTTCTGGGATGATCTGTCCTGAATCTCTTGTTGAACATTTTGGGAAGGGGGGGATTACCCCACATTCTACCATTATGAGAGAGAGAGAAAGAGAGAGAAAGAGAGAAAGAGAAAGAGAGAGAGAGAGAGAGGATTCCTGGGCACTTCTTAGGATTATTTTAAAGGTGTCTGCTTATTTACATCCTCCCTGCCAGAACCAGTTCAGATATGACTGCCAACTGACCTATGAGGAAAATATCCCTCAGACTCTGGCATGGGGCCCCCATGGGCCTACCTGTATTCCAGGCTGCTTGCGCCTTCTGAACTTTGTTAAAAAATATATATATTTTAAAAATGCATAAACTGAGAGCGTGGTGAAGCAAACCATGGGCTGGCTTCTCTGCCCACCATGAATCTGCCTTCTTTGAAATGGGTCCTTGGAGACGCTTTGTGCTGCCACTGTGCGACCAGACATGTCAGACACAAGACCCCCGCCCCGGCCCTCTGCTTTGAATTCCATTCCTTGGCTGCTCCCACGTCTCTCTGAGCCTCCCTGGTTTGTCTGCTGTAGAAGGGCGGTTGGGGCAGAAAACTGTCCTTTATGAAGAGAAGGCTTGTGTTTTGGAACACCTTGTACTTTGTTGTATTGGGACCTTCCTGAGACCCAGTTTGGTGCAGAGGCTTCTATGAAGAGAAGGCTTGTGTTTTGGAACGGCCAACTTCCTCTCCACCTTGTACTTCATTGTCTTGGGACGTTCCTGAGACCCAGTTTGGTGCAGAGGCTTGGACTGGAACGCAGGAAACCTGGGTTCAGATCACCATCTTTCTGCCACGGGCTCTCTCCCTCTCTCTCTCTCTCTGTGTATGTGTCTATGTGTGTGTGCTCATGTGTGTGTGTACGTCTGGGTTTTCCTTTTATTCCTCTGCACATCACCTTACACAACGGGTACTTTTGGGATATGCAGGACAACAACTCTCCTTGTCTTTGTGTACCAACCAATCTTTGTGTACCAAGTCCACCAACGAGCGACATAAAGGAAAGGCCACAACTGAGTTTAAACAAACACCCACGCCCACACAAAAGAGTGCTACGAAGCACCCACCACACACCATTAAACACAAAAAATGACACACACCTTTCTTTATAAACTCTCGTGTGCTGTGTTTCACTTTGCTGTGTGTGTGTGCATAATTTATAGTTAGGGTGGCCATCAGAAAAATAAAGAAGGCACGGTCTCTTTTACCTTTCGCAACAACTCTTCAACCTTTTTGTGTAGGAGGGAATTTGTGCAGCTGTTGCTTTGCATCCACACAAGGTTGGCTGGAAGAAAGTCCTTTTTCCGCACAAGGGAAGCCCTTAACGACCTACTGGCCCTTTGGGGCACCTTAGCTGTATCAACTGCATCTCCTGAGTACTTTTAAATTTAAAGGGATTTTATTTTTGCCATGTCCTGAAACAGCACCCTTACCTTTCAGGGGAATGGTTCTTTGCCCCTTCCTCTGCAAAACCCAGCCTACTCCCAAGGAGACGTACAAACGGGCCTCGCCCCCAGAGCACCAACAACTGCAGCAGTCTACCTGAGAAACCCCCCTCCTCCCTTTCCTTCTAAATTTAGGGTCACATACCAGACTTCACAGCCCAGCTGGAAGCCGCCATCTTGAAACCTGGCAGCGGGAGGCGAGCAACGCGTCCGACGAAGCTGTAAAGGAGGCAAGAGAAAGCTGGCAACGGCGGCTCAGCAGGCTCAAAAAGCATCAGCCGCGGCGTGAGAGGGGAAATGCCCTCGCTCAGGAGAGTAAACAAAGCCGCCACGGGGTCCTAAAGAGAGACGTGTTCCCGGATCTATCACATGTCATGTATTTTCCACAAGACAGTAAAACTGCAGTCCTTAGCTATGACCGTTATATTCCCGATATCCGGAAAGCCAAAGCCGCCCCCGCCATCTCTGAACTGACTAGGTGTGCAGCTTTGTGTTCTTGGACTACAACTCCCACTGTACTCTGGGAATGGTAGTCCAAACCTGCCTAGCTCCGGGGTTAACCTTAATGCTGCTTAGACTTGTTATCAAGAAGGGCAACGAAAGAATACTGTAACGCCTCTAGGGCCCTGGGGCCTTATTAGCTTACTCTCTTCAGAACGAAGAGGATGCACTGAAGAAGGAGGCATTGCTTACCTTCGTTTGCAGAATGAAGAAACGCTTGTTTTAACAGTTTTTTTTTTAAAAAAAGGATTATTTCCCCCCCCCCCACTTCCAGCCCTGGGGAGTTCGCCTTCGTAGCAAGTCTTGGACCTGAACCTCAAACTGTTTCCCAGAAGAAGCCTTAAAAAACATCAAATGGGTCAAAGGGACAGACTGTCTATGACACATCATAATTTTTCCTGCAACCTATGCTTGAACTTATGGGTGGGTTTGAACAGGTTTACGAGTAACCTGGTGAGAAAGGCCAGACGACTCATAAACGCGTTTGTCCTTGCTTACGGGTTCCAAGGGAGGGTTGCCGAGAAAAGGTGAAGTGTCATAGAAATCCCCTTTCCCCCTCCTCCTCCTCCTCCTCCTCCACGCGGCTCGGTCTGGGGGCGGAACTCTTTTCCGCCGAGCGCGCCCCCTCCTCCTTCCCCCCCTCCTCCACGCGGCTCGGTCTGGGGGCGGAACTCTTTTCCGCCGAGCGCGTGTTTCCGGACGGAACCATTTCGGAACGGACGCGCCGGGACACCGACTTCCGGCTGGAGGGAAGGCAGGCAGGCAGGCAGGCAGGCATGGCTTCTCCCGAAGCCTCGGCGGGTCCGTCCGGGCGCCTGGACGCCTGGTTGGCGGTGCTGAGCTCCGCCACTTCCCGGCCGGAGCGGTTCCTCAGGTAGGCCTTCCGGTTCTCCTGCGTGTAACGTGTGAATGGGGGGGAGGGCAGATGCGTGTTTTCTTATGGACGGGCAGGGCTGCCTGGGCTCTGCTTGCTCTTTCTTTGAATCGATTTCTCCTCCCCAAGGAGGGCCAAGCAGGAGCAGGCCCTCCCTAAACACCCCCCCCGGGCCATGATCTTCACCTCAGGCTCCTTTCTGGACTCCACTTCTCAGAATCCCCCAACCCACGCGGCCGCTGGTTTTATTTGCTGGGGGATTATGGGATATGTAGTCCAACCCCCCCACACACACACACCTAATTTCCCAAAGCTGTGGTGGGGCTGAGAGGGGTTCGACTGACCCAGTGTTACTTGGTGAGGTTTTAGCTAGGAGAGGGTTTAAATCCAGGTTTGCACAGATCTGCCCCATCATGCTGCTGATCCATGGTGGGAGTGGTAGTTTCATTGGCACCCTTCCAATGTGCGCCAATGAGTGGTGACAAACTACTGCTCCCAGCCTGCTTCCCCATTGGCCAGAGTGGCCTGGATTGGTGGGGGGCTGGGGCTCAGCAACATGGCAAGTGTCACCAGCTGAAGCAGGAGTAGGGCTGTGATGATGCATCACCCTCCCTTCTTCACCTGCTTATATCACAGGACAGTTTACAGTATATTTTATGGCGCCTGTGACTGCCTCAAAGTGTTTACTCTTCTACAACTTGTTTTGACTCTAGCATTCAGGATGGACTGGCCTGTGACTTCATTTCGTTAACAAAAACTCTGTACGACTTCCACAAAGCGCATGGGACGGATGTTGTTTCTGGAAGCCCCTTAAAAGAACTGGTGGTAGAGGGCTTTGACGAAGAACAGATTTGGCAACAGCTGGAGCTCCAGAATGATGCGGTTCTGGGCGACTTCCAGAGAGCCATTGCTAGGAACGTGGAAGAGGAGGGACAAGACCTTTGCCTTCTGCCAGAGGAGGAAGAGGAGGAGGAGGAGGAAGACGAGTCTGTTGCGGGAAACAGTCAGGACCAGTTGGACCTTGAGGACGAGACAGGAGAAGAGGCAGATCTCAGCCCTGATCACCTTGAAGAAGAAAGCAAGCGTAAAGAAAAGACAAGGAGACCCAGGGAAATGACAGCCCATTCATTTAGCGACGATGACTCTGATATGGATTTTGACATTGATAGATTAGAGCAACAGACCCAGAGGTTGAAGAGAGTAATGAAAAAAGCAGGAGAAAAGTCTGTCGTGGACGACCGATTTTTCAAACTGTATGAAATGGAGGCAGTTCTGGATGTGGTGGAGAAACAAGAAAGCAAAGACAAGGGTAGCGATGAGGAAGACGACGACGAAATAGATTATTTTGAAGATGTCCTTTCTGAGGATGAGGATGAGGATGATGAAGAATTTGGGAAACCCAACATGAAGGTAATGGTGTCAGGAAATGTTTCATTGAACTGTTGCGTTTGCAAGGTAAAGTCTGGTATAATGACATTGTAATGTAGCCTTTAAGAAAAACATTTAAGAGGCCGATGAATAGATACAGGTTTATTGCAATTGACAGCTATTGACCAGAATCTTATTGACTGGTGATTGATGTAAGGGAACCCATGTAAGTCTTGGAGGCAAATTGCTGCTCACTAAGCAGGTGCTGGGTTTGTCCTTAGCTATGTAATCGGTGGCATGTTGAGGAATTGCTAACGAGTGACTTACATGATCTCTCTTATCTTTCTGAATAGATAAACAGGCTCAGGAAAAAGATCTCATTTTGTACATAGAACTAAATTTAAGGGTATAGTAACAGTATTATCAGAGAAGTGATGGTGTGGATAAACCTAGGTAAAGGAGCGAATCCCACCTTGTGTATGTTTCTGTCCTGCCTTGTCTGCTTTTTTTTCTTGGAAAAGCTCTCCAGATCTCACGTTGTGTTCACTCTGGGTTGAATCCCATAGGGCAAGAAGGCATCAGACAATTTCCCCTGATTGTCTCTGGTAGTGGGTGACACAGAGCACCGCTGTGCGCCAGCTGAGTGTTTCATGAACAGAGTTGGCAGCCATTTGTTTTATTGTGGCAATCTGTTTTCACCTGCTGAAATCACAGGACTTGCCCCCTGGAAAGGTGTGCCAGAATCCCTGGGGAATTTGCAGGCAGAGCACCAAGGAGAGAAATGAAGGATGAGATGACTGTGCAGAATGATCAGAAGACTCTAGGTGGCTTTAAATTGGGACTGCCTGTTTGGGCCACAATCCCTGCATGTGTGTCTTGAAGGACAAGTGGCTTTTATTGCAGTCATTAAAAAACCAATTGTGATTCTTTGAAGATAAGTCTTTATTCTCTTCCGTTTGGGCATAGCTGTGTGAAACAGTTCTTTCGCGCATTAGTTTTGTACCAATGTTCTATGTGGGTTCTTCATACCATTATGTCAGTTCCCTTTTCTCCCCCAGTCAGTGAAAAGTGCTCGGGATCTTAAATACCAAGATTACTTTGATCCTGTGGATGATCTTGAAGAGGTCCCTGGTGACCGCAAGGACCCGGAAGATGACCAGAGTGAAGGAGAAGAAGAGGAGATTGACCATGACGATGGATCTGTTGAGCAGTATGTATTATCTTTGGGGCACAGTCCTGCTCTTTTAATGCAGTCGGTTTTAAAGTGCTTTGAGGCGGTCAAAAGGAAATGAGGAGTGCAAGCAGGTCTGGTTGCTTGGATTATCTGAAGTCAGGGTTTCTGCCTGATAATTCTGCATAGGACTACATTTCTTTCAATACAAGTCGTTTTCTTGTGTGGAGAAAGTCTTCATGTGGTCGCTTACAGAGTAGCTTTTTCCCATCCAAAGATCTGTGCTAAAGGGGAGGCTGTGAACCTAATTTCTGCAGGACATTTTGTCTGGTAGCCCAGCAGGCTAGGCCTCTTGCTTGTTTTGAAGATTTCCAGCATGAAATAAATGCCCATAAGGTGGTTTGCAGACAAAGACAAGGCCTCTTTCCCTTTTTGTGCTGTTTAATTGCAGGATGGAGGATGAAATGGATGAAATCCAAGAGACAGGGAAGGAGGGAAGTAAAGCACCCTCCAAAAGAGTGACATTCACCGAGCCCTTTGACAGCGACCAGGAAGACGATACAGACACCTTGGAGAGGAAGACAGGTCGTCTCCCTGAACCCAAATCAACCTTTGAGAAAAGGCAGGAAAAGGTAACATTTAGATCACACGCCAGTTTGTCACCAAATGTGTTGATGTCTCCATACTTGAAGGTACCCTTTCAAAGGCAAAGGTGAGACTTCAGACTTAAAAAAAAGAGGAAGCCCAGAAACCAGATGAGGGAGAGACACAAATAAATTGCCCGGAGATGTGATTGAGAAAAAAATGATTGTTGTCTTGCAGGTGAGTGAAAAAATCAGGAAGCTGGAAGAGGAGTTGCTGATGGAGAAACCTTGGCAGCTGAAAGGGGAAGTGACGGGCCAAAAACGGCCTGAAAACAGCCTTTTGGAGGAAATGCTTCTCTTTGACCATGCAGTCAAAATGGGTAAGGCTTTGCCTTTAGGGCTAATTGGTACGGCGAGGCTCAGACCTCCAGGGGAGTTCCTACGGAGGTCTCCGGGGATGCTGATAAACTTGAGGCCAGGAAGAATCAGAGGCAGGCGCAACCTGTTGTGGGGGCTGCGCGGGCAGTCAGGTTTCCTGCTTCAGCATCGTAGTGCCAGCTCTTATGACGGGTAGCAACAGCAGGGCCTTGGGGTCCCCCCCCCGCTTTGTCAAGTGGTAAATTATGAAATCAATCTTCTAATATGAACTTTCTTATATCCGCCTCTCTGTACGAGGTGGACTTCCTAGGACAGAGTTCATTGTGGCTCTGTTCGTGCTCGCGGATGGTTTGCCTTTCATAGCCCGATCTGGGGGACTCCGGATCTTGAGCTAGTTTGATCCCAGCTGTGCTGCTCCTTAGCTGAGCAGGTAACGTCTCCCGTCTTTAGGATCCATAGGGTTCCGATTCAGGTTAAAGAGTCTTGGGCGGAATCAATAATGGAGGCGTGTCCAGTGGCAATACTGTCAGCCCAGAAAGTAGTTATTGTGTTTTTATTCTGAATATGTTATTCTTTATATTTCCAGCTCCTGTGATCACAGAGGAAACAACTTTTGAGCTTGAAGACATTATCAAGAGAAGAATAAAAGATCAGGTTAATAGGACTGGTTCTGGCTTTTTTTAATGCTCTGTGTTGAAAGGATTAGGGAAGAGAACGGATATTAAATATATTTAAAATGCAGTGAATATAGCTAAGCACACCCTCTTGCTGCCACGCCCTCCTCTATATCTTCTGGATTCTGAGTTTGACTTTTTGGAATCTGATATTCCAAAAGATTCCAGAAAGGCCCTTTAAAAGGTTTCCAGTCAGGTAACTGAATTCTTGTGACCAACATTCCCTCTAAGCTGCGGTTACTGTGGCTGCTTATTTGGTTCCAGCCTCATCTGGAACCTTGAGCGCACGGGATGGGGTTCCTGCTCAGTGCTGGTGGGAAATGAGAAGGAACATTGCTTTGGACAGGCAAATAGAACAAATTCTTAATTTGTTGGGATTCACAAATTCGACCCATGTGTAGTGTTGCTAGCATTCTTGGTTTCCTGATCGAAATCAGAGCAGGAACATTAAAATCAGTAAGCGCAAAGGAATGTAATTTTGCTACCCTGTTCAGCTGCTGGTTGTTGGGGTTTTTTTTAGAAGGGGAATAATACAGCCTTGTTTTTCTAACCCCTGGTTTTAGGCTTGGGATGATGTGGTCCGTAAAGAGAAGCCAAAAGAAGACCCGTATGAATATAAGAAGCGTTTGACTCTGGACCATGAGAAAAGCAAACAAAGTCTTGCCGAAATTTATGAGCAAGAATATCTGAAGCTTAACCAGGTGAGTTTTGAAGGGCCTCGCATGGGCTGGGCCTTGACGTGGCTAAAGAAGCAACTGCTCCTTGAGTCGCTTCTTCTGAAAACAACTGCTTCAAAAAACTGGGATTAAAATAACCTCCTGCAAGTAATTTCCAGTACCTCCTAGTCTGCTGTGATCTTATTTAAGGCCGCTGTTATGGGCGTCATATAGGAAGGGCCTCCTGCAGTCCTGACAGCTTTTCCAATGTGAAAAGAAGTGGGAGGTGAGCGAAGGGCGACGCGTGTCAAAGCTTTCCTCCTGTCCTTGCTAGAGTGATCATGTTTGAAGACAGGGCTTGTTATCTTCCCCGTTACATCGTGTTGATTAAGGATGGTGGTCTCTGCCTCCCTGAAATAATAACCACAATGTATACACTCACAACCTGGCAGCTGGGAAGGACTGTTGTCGCTGGGGATTTTTTCTTTCTTAAAATGTCATCCAAGTATGTTACAGTTTGCCTGAAATGCTCCCTCCTCTAAAGAAGGAGGTGAGACATGACCTTTCTTCTCTCTTCTCCATTTGTGGCTGACTTCTAGCGTGTACCGGTGGCTGTCTTTTTTTTTGTTTTCTGCTTGCCAAGCGAATGTTTGCAAAGCATGGTATTTTGCTGTTCAGTGAGAAGTCCTTGGGATGTCCCTCCGTAATCTCCTTAATTCTGTTAATGCAGAAAAAATCGGAAGAAGAAGAAAAACCCGAGCATGTGGAAATCAAGAAAATGATGGACTCTCTTTTCCTCAAACTGGACGCCCTTTCCAATTTCCACTTCACCCCTAAACCGGTAAGTACGGCAGTGTTTCCACCTTGTTGGCATAACTGGTCCTTGGTACTCCAGGGCGGAGAGGAGCTAAACTTTGCAGCCCCATCGTGTGCTTCTTTGCCCAGTTTGTTCAGGGTGGCTTCTCTGCAGGTCAGTGCCTAGGAGCGCATGCTTGTGGTTTAATGCTCTCTAAGGTGTATAATGTGTCTCTCTCCTTCTCTTTCCCCCAGCCTGTGCCAGAGGTCAAAATTGTCTCAAATCTCCCAGCAATAACCATGGAAGAAGTGGCACCTGTGAGCTTCAGCGACGCGGCACTCCTTGCTCCAGAGGAGATCAAGGTAAGGCACTGGCTGGAGGCTGACATCAGTTTTCTGTTTTGTGGTCAAATCGGCATGCAGGTGAGGCCCTCCATCCTCAGGGACCTCCTTCAGCTCCTGATCTGTGAAATTGGAGGAAGAAAATGGAATAGATGGCATTCCTGTAGGTGCCAGTGGCTGCTTCTCTCTCCCAGAACACCATAGACTTTTCTGAGCCAATGTCAGGGGCGGAAATTCATACTTTGGGGGCTGCTTAGGGGATCGCAACCCTGGTGTCTCCCAGCTGACATATCTGAAGCCAGCCTGACCATCTGGAGGATGATCCCCTTTCTTGGGGGCAGATGGTCTCCAGGCAGAAAGGGAGACCTTGGAGCGAGGCTGCTTCAGCCACTGCACGTTGGCTGGCAAAGCTCCTGTAGACCAACCACATCTGGGATCCACTGCGATGCCAGTTGTCCGGGCAAGCGTCTTGTGGGTATGAGCCATTGACCGTTCCTCCAAGCTGAATCCATTTCCAGCGGGGCTTCTGTGTCTGACATCTTACAGTGGGCATATCTGGCAACGGGTGTGACCAGTCCAGTTGCCGGAGGAGGAGCCGTGTGGCGCAACTTTTCCTGATGGGCCTCTTCCTCCTGTGGATCCTCCTGGCAGACTGGCTGAACCACGGGGCCACCCGTCCTTGCCAATCCTAGATAAATGCATGAGTTTGATTTGCCACATTTATTCAAAGCAGAATATATGTGTCTGTGTACCTCAACAGGGATTGTTTTGGGATCCTGAATTCAGTGTAACTTTTGTTTGTAGGAAAAGAACAGAGCCGGAGATGTGAAAACAGATGCTGAAAAGACTTCAACAGACAAGAAAAGGGAGCGGCGGAAGAAGAAGCTCGCGAGGCGCATAAAGATGAAGGAGAAGGAGAAGCGGCTAAAACTGCTGGAGAAGAAATCGGAGCAAAGCCCCAGGTTAAGCAAGGAGGGCTCTGCCGCCCAATTGAAGAAGCTCACCAAGGAGGGCAGAACCTCCTTACTCAAGGTAAGCTTGCCGGAGCAGGGCCGACAAGTCTTGAGAAGCGCCAGTCTCAGATCTTAGCACTTCTGGGGTGTTTTGGCTTCAAGGAATCTCTAGCGCTGCTTGCATTCTACCTTCTAGCGTGCTCTACTTTATGGGCTTAACAAAGGCCGGGCCTGGGCATTTGATAAGACATGGGGCAGTTCGTTAAAAAAAAAACACCACTCAAAAACAAACAGTGAACAAACAGCATCAGCATATACAGACTTTGGGCATCAGGCACCATCAAAACAGCATCTAAACCAAACTGTTTTAATTATATTTCTGAAGTCTGGAAGCAAGTGGGGTCAATGAACCAACCGCCTGGGGGATAAAGCCCTGCCTTGAGGTCTTGGGTGGGGGCGGACACAGAGCGGAGCCTCCCTGAAACATATCTGCAGGCAGACGGAATCATGCATGGAGAGGGCATCCTGTCACCTGTTTGGCTTGTTTGTTTGTTATATGGAAAAGTGTTGCACACAATAATGTAGTTGTCCTGAATATGCCGTCCTCATAAAAGATTCTTGAGTATTTTCTGTATTATCAACCTACAGGGTTGAACACAGCTACAAATATGGTTTGTTTAAAAATAATGCAATTCCATGCCTTCTGCTAGGTTTTGTGGATGGAATAGGATTTAAAAAAAAAAAAAGGCAGAGTGGTTAAGGAGAAAGAACTTCAAAGAAGAAATTTTAAAATTCCTCTGAAGTTCCACTGGTGTTAAGCCCCTATTATAAAGGGATATGCTCCTGGCTGCTCTGTTAGCATGCGCTAAGCGTAAGAGCGGAGATAATGCCAAAGCCCCCTTCAGCTTTTCTGACTTATTGTACTGCCAGGGAGGGGAAAAAAACACACCATTGCATAACATAACAGCTGCTGTTTGCCATTTAGTTATCAATTGGAATAAAAATGGTAGAGGGAGATAAAGAAAAATCTTTCGTGTATTCTGCGGAAACAATTAAGTGGCTGGAACGACTGTTCTTCTGGAGGATTTTTTTTAAAAAAAATATGTGTATGTTTCCATTTGTTGTTAAATAAATGTTGCTTTCTTCCAGGATGCTGGCAAAGACAAGGCTTTGAAGTCCTCCAGGGCGTTCTTTTCTCAGTTGCAAGATCAAGTGAAAATGCAAATTAAAGAAAAAAAGAAAAGCCCAAAGAAACGAGAGCTTTCTGCCCAGAAGCTGAAGCTGTAATATATTATGCATTCACTGTTTTGTATAAATTAAAACAAGGTGTATTTTTTAACCCTGACTTGTGTTTTTATTCTTCACGTTGGACATCAACATTATGTTTTTAAATCACAAGGGGACCTAATTAAAGGTAGCAGTTAGACGTGTCACACAGATTCGCCTGCAGCTTTGTGAAAGTACCCTCGCTTGCTGCATAAGCCTTTTTGGATCACGAGTCCCAGCATCCCCCCCAGCTGTGGGATGATGGGACTTGCAGTGCGAAGTCACTTTTCCAAGCTCTTTGAAACAGGTGACTGTAGATTTGGCTTGTGTCTACAACTGTTTAAAAACAATGCTTTCTGGTTTATGTGGGCAGTAACTTGGTTGGCATGCAACTCCAAATCGTCATGTAATACTGTAATTACAGAGTGGAGCACTGTGGTTGATGTGTTCTCGCACTCTTATACCAAACCCCAGTTTCTTGTTAAGCAAAGTTTTTTGTTGAATGAAGACCTGGCAGTGGACGAGCTGTGCTTCTCCATCAATCCATAATTAAGAGTCCAGTTCACGCGTGGAGAAAGCGGAAGAGCAAAGATCATACCGCTAGCTTTGCCCTGCTGCCCTGCCTTTCACTCGCCACACTCCCAGCTTTTGTACTTAGATGCTACATCTACTCTTGCGTGACCCACCTTCAAAAACATTTGTTGGGCTGACAAGAGCAGGCTTGGGATAAGGGAGTATATCGTCAACTCTCCCACCCGGAAGTCTACCAAGGCTGACTCAGTACAATGTGGCTTTCTAAGCTCCTACGTTCACCCTACAATTACAAATATACAGAGATGTAACTAGAAACTACATGTGATACAAGATCAAGGTGAGACAATTGATTCGTCTAAGGCTAGTGTTCTAAAATCACCCCATCTGGAGACAATCGATTCGCCTAAGGCTAGTGTTCTAAAATCACCCCATCCAATCCCACCAGGCACCTGAGAGTAATGGCTTTAGCTGGTCCTGAAAAGATCAAGGCTGGTGCCAGTCGGGTCTCACTGGGGAAGAGCATCCTATGAAAAAAGATTGAGGAAACAGTTGCTTTGCCTGGAGAAAACAGTGGTGGTGGTGGTGGGGACTGAGAGCACCCTTTAGAAAACAACTCAAGGGTCTGCTCTGTTAGGCTGAAAGTTTATTCTCTCCTCCTCCAGGAGGGCAAGACTAGACTGAATGGGCTTAAGTCCCGGGAAGTTCTGAGAGCCTGGACAGAAATGAGCCTTTGTTTCAGTATGAATGACTTCAGCACTTCTACCAAACTATTACATCTCCAAAGTCCAAACACCTTTAGTGTTCTGTTTCTGCCAGTGGTGCCACCCGCTCCCTGTGGGGAGCTCATAAGCAGCCAGCACCTTCTGGACTGAGTTCACCAGCAATCGCTACTGTGAGGCAGGGTGCTGAGATGATGGCTATGGAACTGATAAAGAAGGGGAGATATATTGTTTATGAAACCAGGAAATCCATTCATGAATAAAGGAGGAAGGATGGTAGTTAAACTTGGTTACAGAAGCCCCTAGTGGCACTGGTTCTTACGGCCCTTTATCAAAGTACACAAACCAACAAACAAAAACAAGTTAGCACAGAGAGAGGAGGAGGAAGGAAATCTGAGAGTATCAGTCTGCATGCAGATCCAAAGCAGGCAAGAGGGGGAACCATGTGGGCTATCTATTGGCCTCACGGCCCACCTCCAGCACAGCTCATTTGCTGTATATACTTGCATTTTGTTCCAGCGCTAGATAGCCATCAAGCCTACTAGTCATTGCCACCCTTATTTGTCCATTCCCCTCCTAAAGGAATCCACGTTGGCTATTGCACCATCTCAAGGTACTGAATTCCAAATGAACTTTAATTGCAATGTTTCCAAAATGTGCTGTTTTAGCTAGTGCAGACAGCGTTTCCATGTTAACATGGTTGAAGCCAGAAAGGAGCGAAATGGTTCAGGGATAAAGAAGGCTAAGTCACTGTGCCTGTTTCTGGTTGCAAAGTGACCCTTCATGTCCATTGTCTGCTATAATGACCCCTTTCAAAGTATCTAAGAAGGACCAGTATTCCCAGTGTGTGTGTTGTGGGGGAGGGGGTACTGCATCGGAGGGAGCATTGCCTATTAAACAGTGCCATTAAATACCTGAAATATAAACACCCATCACTTGATTTAATGGGGCACTAAATATATCTGTACAGTATTTCATTCTTCTGTGACCTCATAAATTATGTGCTGTTTGCAAATGCACTTTGGGGGAAATTTGTCACAGTTAATTAAAATCACAGAGAGACTAGAATTGCATTCGTTTACAGTTTTCAGGTGGAAGCAACGGACTACACAATTATGGCTAATAGAGAAAGGCCCTGAGGCCACCATATGAAAAAAATAATAATAAATCAAAAGACTCTCTACAATAATAGGCTGCAGTTGTGACAAGTAATGGAAAGAGCAAGCGCATTTGATTGATTTCATGTTAACAGTAGGCCTGGCTGTAAAAAGGTTTGGTCTCTCCCGCTCCCGCCCTGGAAACACTGTGAAGTGCCATGCATTAATAATCGGAAAGCAAAGGAAAGCAAATGCTGTTAAGACCATCAGCAAATCTACGCTGATGGCCCATGCCTTGCAGCAGCCCCTGGCTTCGGGATTGCACGGAGGGCCCATGCCTTGCAGCAGCCCCTGGCTTCCCATGGACGCCGACCAGACACACACCCGAGGTACCCTGCACAGGTAGAGGCGGAGGCTGTGCAGGGGGCAACACTTCACACACACACACACACACACACACACACACCCTGACCCACCAGCATAACCTCCAGTGTTAGTCATTCAAAGGAACAATGCCCCCTGAACATGGAGACTCCTTCTAGCTTTCATAGTTCACTGTCACTGAGGCCACCAGAACGTCTGCTGGATATTCTTCCAAATGCACATTATTAATTTTCAAGTTGTGCAGCTGTGAAGATGAAGGTGTGTACGATATTCTGATCTGTTCTGTTACTTTTCCAGCCGGCCTTCCCTCCAGGGAGCTCAAGGTGGGCCCCCCTGTGGTCCTCTTTCCCACCCTCCTTATTTATGCTCAGGACAGCCTTGCTAGGTAGGCTCTGGCCCAACGACCCCCCCCCAATGCATCTCAGGGCTAAACTGGGGGAATCTGAACCCAGCTCTCCCCCCGGCGGCCTCTCCATCGACAGCTCTGCAAACCGTGAACGAAAAAGGGCACGGCGTCGCTGAAAACATGCAGCGATAGAAAGAATGCAAGAACTGGCGTCGTCGTTTGAAACCACAACAAACCATAATTCCAACTGCAAATATAAGCAAGGATCATTGGGGTGGGTGGGTGTGAAAAAGGGGAGTCGGGTTCCCCCTCTTCTCTTTTAATGCCAAGCCTCTCTGGGGTCGTCCCTTGAAGCTGAGCCATGGGGAAATCCAGGGAAGGTTAAAAACCAGGAGGAGCAGGCACTGGTGGCTTTCAAGACTGGAGCTTGGATAAAGCTACTTTTCTGGATTGCAGCCCAGAGCACCAAACAAAGGAGATGAGCCCAGGTGAGCAATAAGGCTGCAAACCAGGGAGCAAAGAGGTTCTCTGGAAATGTTTGCTTATCATTTGTTTTTATTTTATTAATTATATGCACGCCCTGATTTGGGCCCAGGCTGGCCCTTTCCCACCCTGCAAACTCCTCCACATTTCCACCTTCACAACCCTCTTGAAAGGTAGGCCAGAGAGAGAGAGAGAAGCAGCGGTTTCTCGCCTTCTTCCCTCCCATTGAGAAAAAAAGAAGCAGCCACTGCCCGGAGAGGAATCGATCGCTCCGGCATCGACCGCGCATGTCTGAGTCGAGGAACGATTGCCACGGTCTGGCGCCCGGGCCCGTGGGAAAGGCAAGGGAGAGGGAGAGCGAGAGCGCGCACGCGCCTCTGGTTCCCCGCCGGGCGGGCTCGCGCGAGGGGCCTCCCTGTGCGCCTGCGCATTCCCCCCTGCCCGGGCCGCACAGTTGCAAGGGAGGGTTTGCAACTAAAGGCGGGTCGGAGGGTTTGCATTTTGTGTTGGCAAGGCAAGGGCTGGGCACCCCGAAGCTGCTCTCCAGTTCTGTCCTTTTTTTTTTCTCCCTTCCAACTTTTTACAAAAGGCATGAGATGATGATGATGATGTAATTTCTTCCCATTCCATTTCTTTTTTTTTTTTCTAAAAAAGAGTTTGTCTTTCTGAGCAGCTGTTGGAGTATCTGCTCCTTTACTGTACAGGATTAGTTTATAACATCTTTTATTGAGCCAGGGGGTGTCTCCTTTTGGGCGCTTTATTTTTTTTATTATTATTATTTTTTTTGCAAGCTTAGGTTTCTAGGGCAGCCCTTTCCAGCGTTTAAAACTAATGAGGTTTATATAGCTGGAACAGTTCGTGCTGGCCTGGGCCCGAAGAAGGCAAAAAGGTTTGCATATTTATTTATGTATATACAGTATTTGGCCATAGACTTTGCCTGCTATTTCTGCTGGTGTTCTGGAAGGGTCACCAGTCCGCAGATGTGGGACAGGTTATGATTCGGTTTGGAGTTGCCTGACAGTAGAGGTGGAAGGGATACAGCAGGAGAGTCAGCTTGGCCTGTGTCGAGAGAAGAGATGAGGGAACAAAATGTTTCCACTGAGGTGTGCCTGCAAAACCTGTTTTCTGCATGTATTAAGAGGGGGAGAGAGGTCAACGTACAGGGCAGCACTTTCACATAAAGGGGGAAAGATGGCTTTATGACCCTGTGCAGATTGTAATTAACATTTCACCGTGTTGGAAACAAGGAAGAGCACGGAAAGACAGAAGAAAAGGTTGCAGCACACTGTAATCCATTTGGTTTTGTAATGGGAGGGGGGGGTAAGTCAAAAGAGAACGTCTCCAAGTTCACTGGCCTAAAGAAAAAGGTTTTATCTACAGTATTTGTTCATCCCCTTATTCCATTTACTAAGGTGTACCTCTGCCGTAGTAAATCCAGATTGGAAGAACGTCTAGAAACACTGCTTTTTGCATCTCTGCTGAGTCCTTGCATGGAGTCATCTCCCACCTTCCAGATATTTTGGGATGCAAACCACAGGGTGCCTGAACTTCGGTCATGCTGGGCTGGGGCACATGGGCCCTGACCTTAAACAGCAGGTTGGAGAAGGCCCCTTAAAGGTATCCTAGTTAGAATCCCCATATGACTCATTGATACTCAGATTATTAAATAAGGATTATATCCTCAACTAGGTTATGGGTCCATTTCCAGGATACTTTTTGCTTTCTTGCAAGTGAGTCAGAAGTGAAAATAGTAACAAAAGCAGCAAGACACTGACCTTGCTTTTCTGGTGTATTCATTTGTACAGGCATGGCCGAGGGGGACTGCCGGATCCGAGGAAGGAAGGAGTTCTTCTGTTTGTGTGAAACACCATCCCGTTCATGAGTAGCCCCTCCAGCCACCATGTTTTAGGCTTCTGCAATGGCGGAAGAGGAGCCCCCGGAAAACAAAAGGCCTCGGAAGAGCACCTCCCTCAGCAGGGCCCAGAGGAGAGCGGCAAGCAGGAGGGATGGTCCAGATGCAAAAGGGGGCTTGCCTTTATCTCCCTCCCCTTCCTCTATCCTTTCATTTTTTAATAACGTTCCCCCGGCCAGAATTACCTGCCCGTTGTGTGGAGAGATGGTGCCAAGGTATGGCATCAACAGGCACATTGACGAAGTTTGTGAAAAAGGCCGGGACAACGACGTGATTCTGGTCGCCTCGTCCTCCGCTTTGGTGGCCGAGGAGGGTGGACCCGGTGTTTCCAGCCCGTATTTCACCAAGAACGCCTCGGGTCCAGAGAAGAGCCCAAGCCGAGCCTCGGGGGGAGAGCGTGAAACGGAAGCGAGGGCAAGCGAACGGACAAGCCCTTATTTCAAGAAGGGCAGCCGTCTGGTTTTGAGCGACGGAGAGCCCGGGATTCGTGCGGTTAAAAGCATTTCCCTCGGAAGCTTGTCAGCCAGGCTGTCCCGGCGGAGGCACCGGGCCCAGGGCGAGGGGGTTTTGGCCCAAAGTGCCGAGGGCCATTCAGCTCAAGATGTTTGGGACGACCCTAAGGAAGCTAATTCAGGAGAGGCCACTTCTGAGGGTGGCTCCCAAAAAGAGAACCGGTTGCCTTTGGCTGAACTTCAGAGGCAGCACGGCAGGAAAGAAGGTGGAACCTCGTGTGGTTCAGGAATTCTCTCCAGTGACCTCAGTCAGTCCATTCCAGAGTCCTCCTCCTCGGAGGGTCCTACCTCTGGTGCCCTCGGGCTGTTCGTAAAGGGCAGCGGGCAGCAGGGCAATCCAGTTTCAGATTTAGAAAAACCTGACGTATGTCCAGCAGCAGATAATAAAGCAGGGGACTCTGCTTTGGAAACCAGAACTCTCTTGGAGTTGGCTCCGTTGAGCGAGACCAGAGAGAAGTCCCATCATCATCAAAAACCAAGTTTTTCTTTGGTGGGAGATGTCGAAGAAGCACCTCCTTTGGAAGAGCCTAAAGATTTAAGCAATGAGAGGACAGACGACGCGTGTTTGGAAAAAGTGAGCCTTGAGCATCCGAGAGGAAGCGTTTTAGAAAAAGTGCCGAATGGACCTGGTCCTGAATCGGACTCACAAGGCCATCCCTATTATCTCCAGAATTTTCTGATGGTCTTGCACGCTGTGCTAGAGAATGAAGATGACCGGAGGCTGTTCGATGAACAAGACTTGGGTATCGTTGATCAGTTCTACCAGCTATCTGGTAAGCCTACTCGTGAATATTTATTTTAGCACTTTTTAAGACCACACTGCTGTGCCTGGCACGTTATATGTAAAGTCAGAGGGGCAAAAATAGATGCCACCTTGCAAAGAAGTCATTGCATATAAATGATAAGAAGGAAACTGTCAAGGACGGGGGGGGGAAGAGAGAAGAATGTGAGAATTGAGGTTTGTGGGCAGAGGGCGTGACACAAGGCAGAAGGAAAATGTGGGTTTTACGAGTGGTCACTCCTAAGGGATGGGGAAAGAGCAGAGCAGATGAATATATGTTAAATAAGCCAGTTGGAGATGATATAAAATAACAGAAAAGAAGTGGAAAGAGGATTTGGGATTTAGCAAAGTCTTGTAAGCCTTGAAAGCTGCTGGCTGTACGGTTTTGGAGCTTTTTTTTTTTCTTAAACAGTTTGGACAGACGGCCATTTTGATGGGTAACAGTATTAGAACAACTGATTAAAGAGTTTTTAGGTGACTAATCATCTTCCTTCCTAGTTGACCTAATTCAGAAGTAGAACGGGTGGCCCAGGTGGTAGCCCCGGAGAAGGTAAAACGTGTCTTAGAATAGTGGTTCTTAACCTTGGGTTGCTCAGGTGTTTTTGGACTGCAACTCCCGGAAGCCTTCACCACCAGCTGTGCTGGCTGGGGTTTCTGGGAGTTGCAGTTCAAAAACACCTGAGTAACCCAAGGTTAAGAACCACTGTCTTAGAAGAGCACCTTTGTGAGGGTGGGCCGCGGCCCCTGGGCGGGTCTGGCCCCAGTTGCCCAACTTGCCTTTCCTTCTCAAGCATCTGAAAAACCAGTGCTTGGAAAGTCTCCAGTTTGAATCCTGCCTTAGCCACCAACTCACCTAAGAGGTCTGTGGGGCATGCTTTACTGGGTGACAGCTCAGTGATAGCTTGGAAATGCTGGCTCACCCCCCCCCAAAAAAGCCAAGAAGGCCTGTGTATATACCTATTAGCTACCAGGTGGAGACTAGGCAGGTTTGTGCCAGGCTGTTAACAGAAGAGCTCCTATCTGCAGCCTTGGATATTTAAATAAATCTGGGAAGTGCCACCTTCTTTGAAGAACTGAGCCGGGTAGTAATAATTATCCGGCTTGCAGTAATTAACTTGCTAATTCAGTTAGAACTATTGGGCTGGATGCTACCTAATACTTCAGGTGGGGAAGATTTTCCCTTAATGGCCTTCTCCTGTCTGTAGGGAGGTCTCCCAGCAGCAAATCTTTCTGTGCTAATTTAAAAACACTGGCAGCAAATGCACCTCATTGCTTGTAACAATTTCTAATATTTGTCTGAGAGACCAAAAAAGCCCGAAATTCCACCTGCTGGAACACCAGAGAGTTGGGTCCATTTCTCTGGGGTTGAGCTACAAAGAAGACTCTTGAATGGTGTGAACTGCCTTCCTCAGCACCTGATGCGCCACAGCAGGAATGAGGAACAATGTGTGTCTTGCACACCACTGGTCATTCCTATCAGAGAATCCGATTCTCTCTCTGATATAAGCAAAAACCTTAACTGTTGCTGAGAAGGACATCTCTAGGTTTACAGACATTGGCCAGAATCCTGCTGAGATTTTCCAGTTGCATGATCTCTGGTTCCCTCTAGTGGCTAGTTCTGGTAATACATGTGAAAATAGTGTTTTTTTAAAATATATTTTTAATATTTCCAGACTTTCAATGAGCGAAAATGGTGGATACTGATCCCGTGGGTCCAGCTGTACTCTGGATTAAGAGAAATCACATAAGTCAACTGAACTAATTGCAGGGAGTGAAACAAGGTGCCTTCCAAATGCTTTGGTCATGTGACCAATTGGAAGAGCAGGAAAACAAACCACTACTGTTAAAGAACTGGGCTACAACTTGGTTTGAAATAAGTTACAGCTCTGCATCATTCAGAGAATAGGCCATATGTTGAGCGCCAAGGCACTGGAGACTCTCCAATTTTTTTTTACTACTGCTGTTAGGTTGCAGTTGGGTTGATTCTGGAGAGGTCTGAGAGTTGTGATTCTTTTTTAAAAAAGATATTTCCAAGCTGTAGTTATGCCTTAGTTGGAGTCTATGGCAGCAGGGCATAATAACAGGCCCCGTTTCTCTTGGGGGAATAAATTAGGAAGGGTTATTTATTTACTTCTTTATTTGATGCAGAGATTTAGTGAAGTTTGAATCAAGGGCAGCGTTGGACAAAATGCCGCAACATGTGGTTGGGCTGCAGTTCCCAGGGTTTTGTACCGCTGGCTGGAGGTGTTGGGGGCTCATCCAGCCATACCTTGAAAAACCACATTTTTGCCCAGACCTGGTCTAAATGCTAAGGAGAGCGTGGATGGTTGCTTGGACAGATATTTGGTTGCTCTGTTTGTGAGAGTGTTTGCACGCACGCATATAAAACGAGATTGCTATTAGCTGAGCTCTGTGTGTCTCATGTGCAGGTTCCCCGATTAGTTGGCATCTGCTCAGAGGCAGGCATGATTTCCACAGCTCTCAGCCTTTCGGATCAAGCTGTTGATTAGCCCACGGCAAAGAGATTGTGCCAGTAGGGCCATGATTGCTCCACTTGAAAAAAAAAATCATTTCCATTTTCCTGAGCCTCGGCTGATTCGGATGCCGGGCGTGTAGGCAATCCGCAGAGATTGCTTTGGGCTGTAGGAGAGTGGAGCTCGTTCTGCGTTCAATCGGCCTCCCGTTCTTTTTTCTTACCTCCTGTTCAGCCCTCGTTTTTACCGAAAGGAGGAGGGAGTGTTAGCCACACGGATATGTCCAGGAAAGCTGCTTCCGTGCAACATTTTTTTTTTAAAAAAAGCCATCTGTGTTAGCCTGCTCTCACTTAAAAAATGATAAAATGATTCATCTAGAAACAATTAGGTGAACAGCCAACAGAGATGCCCATTTGGGAGTGGGCGGGCAGGTAGCAGAGTGTGTGTTTAACATGGTTAAACTGCATCCATTTTGGTGACTTTTTCCCACACGCTATCAAGAGGTTTGTTTTTGACGCCTATCCATGAAAGGGGCTTTTCTAAGTCCTGATTCCTGTCTTTTACAAAACCTGCTGGGCTGCCCTGTTGAGCCCATCTTGTTACCCTGCTTTTGCAGTTAGTTTATGTTTTGATTGCTTGTGTTTCGTCTCAGGTATTTTAAACATAAGCTGCTTTTTTTTTAAAGGAAATCGACCCAAAATGTTTTAAATAGCAACATCTCAGCACTGGTTTATAATTAGCTACTCAATTAATACTTAGTTACGCATGGGCTTATTATTGCTGAAAATGTACAGAACAGTTAATTGTGATGATCAAAGTAAAAAAAACGATGTCGTACCGTATACTGGTTAGGATTTGGGGGTGAGAAAGATCTAGGTTCAAAATCTGAGAAACTCACTCAGTGACCTTGGGCTGGTCCCTTTTTCTTGGCTGACATATCTCACAAGATGGGTTATGAGGGAAAAAGGAGTGCAATATACTAGTATGCTATTTTAATTGGTAAAGGGGAGGGACATACCTATAATAAACAAGAAACAAATTCATGATAGAACATAACAACTTAATGGGAATTGTTTTTCTTGGGAGGCGGACAAAAAGGTCACAACCGAATTTAAAACCTCCCTGACAGGAAGGCGAAAACATCAAAAGAAAGATGATGGTTGCACCCGGAGCAAGGCAGAGGATGTGCTAAGAGTACCGTATTTTTCGGTGTATAATACGTCCCCACATATAAGACCTCCCCCCACTTTTCTAACTCAGAATTTCTTTCTTCGCAACAAAGTGGAGGGGGAAAGCAGGAATCACTTTGATGATTGAGTTGTAGTCCAAGAACATCTGGGGACCCTAAGGTCGGGAAACACTGCTCTAGGCCAAAGAGCTATGGCACAAAAATAGCAGCCAGCCTCAGTTCATGTTGTGAGTTTTTAGCATTGTGGTTAAGAGCCTGCAAAGCAGTATGAAACAGCTTTATGTGGAGTTAACAACCTCTATTGAGTTCCATGGGACTTATTTTCTGCAAAGTCAGTGTGCACACACTCCTGCATGCATTTACCCAAGAGAAGAAATGCAACTATCTAAAATGTGGCGGTTAGTATTTCATCTACTGTAATTTTCCTGTTATTATACCTTCTTAACATGAGAATTACTGTTTCTGACCCAGCACAAGTGTTGCCTTTCAACTGAATTCAGCTAAATGCGTTAGCAGAACAATTCTTTCCTGACCCCGCTTTTTCAGAAAGCGTTTTTAAAAGCTGTTTTTCTCTAATGCAACTATCTAAAATGTGGTGGTTAGTATTTCATCTACTGTAATTTTCCTGTTATTATACCTTCTTAACATGAGAATTACTGTTTCTGACCCAGCACAAGTGTTGCCTTTCAACTGAATTCAGCTAAATGCGTTAGCAGAACAATTCTTTCCTGACCCCGCTTTTTCAGAAAGCGTTTTTAAAAGCTGTTTTTCTCTCCCCCCCCCCCCCCCTTTTCTTCTTTTCACTGCGGCTACAGAAGCTGTATGTCCGGCTCTTTCAACGCAAGCTGAACTGGATAAAAACGAATAAAATAGAATATCCTGAGATCAGCCAGGATCTCTGCCCTGTCCTTGCAGAGCTTGTTCAAGCAAGATTCCTGGAGTCAGGTGGGTCTATTAAAGCAGGGGTGGGGTGGGCACTGTCAGTCCAGGGAAACTGTTAGTGGGTTGCAACCCCCCCAAAAAACAAACAAACAAAAACCAGAAACACAGCCGTGTGCTCTGTGTGCAGGATCCAAAAACAGGTACTTTTTTTTTGGACTTTTTACTGAACTGCTAAATTATCATCCGTAGGTGAATTTTCATGCCCTACACAAACCTTCACCACAGTGGACGCTGCATAGTTGGAGCAGAGGAAGAGAGACAGAAAAGTTTTTTTTTTTAATCTTGGGTAAACCCTGAAGGTTCAAGATTTGTAATGTTTCTATAACTTAAAATGTTTTAAAACAAGGGAGGCACAACTAAAAAAAGCTACCCATTCACGTTAGTGGTCCCATAAACTGTACTCATCCTTCTTTTTGAAGAATGGTTTAAGTTATAGCGATGACGATGATAATGATGTTCTTGGACTGTAACTCCCAAAAGCCTTGGATTCTAGCTGTGCTGGGTAGGTGATGATAATGATGTTCTTGGACTGCAACTCCCAGAAGCCTTGGATTCTAGCTGTGCTGGGTAGGATTGCTGGGAGTTGTAGTCCAAGAAGATCTGGGGATCCATCCATTCATGGTTTAGCAATCGATGCAACTTAGACCACGATTACCATCATCATTGTTCTCGTCCTCATCACCATCATCGTTAAGTGTTGGTACCCCACTCCTCCTTTGAAATGCGCACCCAGAGCAGCCCTCCGATACATCTTTTGTATCTTAGGGATTGGGGGGAGACTCACGAGTGATCGTCCCCAAAAAAGGAACTTCTTCAGATTCGAGTCAGTTGGACTGGAGATCGGTTGTCACTTTAGGCTCAATCTGCCAGCGTTTCAAAGTGGGATCAAATATGAAAGGGTAAATTTTGGGAGGGGGGGGGCGGCGAGTGGCAATATTGTGACTAATACTTGGTGGGTTGATTTTGACACAGCAAAAGAACAGGAAGCTACCGATCTGAGCCTCTTGTCTTGTTCTTTGGCTTGACTCCTCGCCCCCATCCCCACAACTGCAGAGGCAGAACTACGAGATCTACCTGAGGTCCTTGACTTACTCTCTGCCCCTGAGCTGAAAACCTTAGCCAAGGCGTTCCACCTGAAAAACCCAAATGCTCAAAAACAGCAGCTCCTGGAAGATTTCCTCACGCTGGCCAAACAACGCTCCTTCTTCAGCAGAAGCCAAGCTGGTGTTGGAGGTGTGATCCTCAAAAGGTAACCCCCGTTCGGCGTCGCCTGCCACAAAAATAAACAAGCCAGAATCCTGACCACGGGGCCACCCTGATTTTGCCAGAGAGAAAGCTAGACGCCACCCCTTGAACAAATCATACAGAGTCAATTATATCTGCATTGTCTTTCTCCAGCCTAATTGTTCTTGCAAAGGCGGGTTGTATTTTCCTTTATTCTTCCCATCATAAGGCCCAGTTAAGACGTCTTTAAGGATGCCTGCTTTTCTCGTCATGCGTGGGAACTGACTGAAGTCCCTTTTCACTTCGCATGTGAGGAGATTTAGAACTTCCGTCTTGTTTTCTCCTCAAGGACTATTTTCTTTCTTTGTCTGAGGCTCAGGAGACTGTCGTTTGCATAGAAAAAGTCGTTTGACGTTAAAAGTCATGATTCTGCCCCAAGTGCTGAAACAGAAAATTCTTATTTATTGATATAGGCATCTAGACCATCCTGAGGGCTAGAAACTTGCTTTTTAAGCAAGCCTTCGTGGAGCCAGTAGAACATCTGGTCCTTGCCTGTCACCTAGGTCCGCACCTTTTTAAACCTGCAGGAGCACCTGCTTTTTATTCAGGCCTCAGCCTTTCGGCTGATCGGCCCCACCTCAGTGCCATTCTCTCTCTCTCTCTCCATCTCTCTCTTTTGCTTCAGAAAACGTAGTGCTTTCCTCGCTTTCCAGCCTAACCCAGTTTTCGAGAGCGGCTGTAGCTTAGCAGGCACCTCCCTCGAGAGGCTGTTTCTATTTCTGCTGCTTTTATCATTTGCACTTGATCTCCATGCTAATTTTAAGCAGAGGGCTTATCTCGGTTGATGCGTGCATAATTCTGGAGGAAGATGTCAGCGCTCCAAAGCATAACAGATGTATCAGAGAGGAGGAAAGACAATGCAGAAAAGCAGAGCCAGGGGAGAAAGACACCTGCTTTTTCAGAAGGAAGTTGGGATTAGAGAGGAGGAGGAACGTGGGGAAGAAAGGTTTTCTTAGAGGAACATAGAGATACAGAGAACAGTCATGGCAAAAACAAGGGAGCCATTTAAGAAGAGACATCTTATGGAGGGGGTGTGATGCAAAAGGTGAACCACCACCCCTGAAGGCTCCCGGAGAGTGGAATTGGCCTTTGACTTCCAGATATGTCGCCCTATCCCCTTGGTATGGCTTCTGCCCTGCTCCCCACGACATATCTAGTTTGCTCTGTTATGCAATGGTTTTGTTTAAATATATTTGGTGATCATAGGCAGAAGATTTGGCTGGGAGGTGGGGCTATAGATCTGACCAAGAATCCAGTCCAGCCTTCTTCCTTAATCAGGTGGAAAACGTCGTTCCTACAGGCACGACCGCCTATGGAATACCCTTTGTAGCAGAAACAAGGAAGAGGCATGTGGCTCCTTTAAAGACTAAGACATTTTATTTGGCACAGCCTGCTTCTTCCTCGTTGGTGATCATAGGCAGAAGATCTGGCTGGGAGGTGGGGCTATAGACTTAGTTAGGAGATATAACATGGCAAACACTAAGTATCAACAATGGAAAGACTAAAGACTAAGACGTTTTATTTGGCACAGCCTGCTTCTTCCTCGGGTGCATCTTAGTTGTTTTGTCTACAACTACAGCTGCCTTTTAAATCCCCTGAGAAGCAGCTGTAACTCTATCTGCTTTGCCAGAAGAATCCCTACCACACACATTAGGGAGTCGACACCATCGGGCACAGGGTGACTGAATTCCATGCAAACCTCTGATAGGGTTCTGCGGTTAATGTTTCTGTGACTTTGGAAAATGGACAATGGCACAGATTTTATTTTCATTTTTCTCGCCCCCCCCCCCTTTGCCATCCAGGGCTAAAGATCTCGCAGGGAAGTCTGTCCGTGTTTGTAAAGGTCCCCGAGCTGTCTTCTCTCGCGTTCTGCTCCTTTTCTCTTTGTCTGACCCCATGGAGGATGAAGAGGCTGGCAGTGGGGGCCAAGGACAGCTTTCAACGGTGCTGATGGTAAATATGGGGCGGATGGTCTTCCCCGCTTACACGGTCGAGAGAAGAACGCCGATATTTCAGGATCGAGATGATTTTATTAGGTAGGAAGAAATACCGAGCCTCTTGGAAACCACTGTGTGTTTGCTTCCTCCCCCAGCATTATTCCTATGCATCCCATTTATAACTCACATTTCCTCTCTAAGACATATTAGATGATGCATGTGGTTTTCCCTGAATCCTTCTGTCTAGTAGGTAGGTTAGGCTAAAAGAAGGTGCCATGTCAGTTCAACAAACGACAATCTAAAATGGTTTCTTCCTCGTTCAACACTGAATGTTACACTGCACTTATTCTTTATCAGGCGGTTTCATAAAGTCCAAGAGGATAGGTTTCCAGTCTATAATTTGATAAAGATGAAATAGCAGATGAAAATATATCAAACAGGGCCTGGGCAGACATGGGAAGGATGAAGAAGTTTTTAGGGTATGTGAAGAGACTGAGGAACTGGGAAGCATGGGACATAGAATTTATCTAATAGAAGATCTGGTGCTTCTTTTTGTGAGTGCCTGGCAAGCTGGTCAAGAAAGCAGAGCTCAGTACTGGCTATGAACAACAGGACAATTCACACCTTCAGCTAATCTCCTGTTAAAGGTGACTTCAGAAGGTGCTTCCAAGTTGCACCAAAAGGGGTCAAATTGTCCACTTGAACTCTTGACTTGAAAAGCCAGTTCACTTCCTTCCCCAGAGTCATGCAAATCAGGGAAGAGGAGAGGAAGGTGCTTTTCGTTTGTAGGAAGATGGAAGAGGATTAAAAGGTTGATTACAACAGGTTTGGAGTAGCACATTTCAGGTATAAAAGAGATTAGGAAAGCTAGTTAGATAGCCTAGCTTATCTCTGAGAAGAAAGTGCTTTAGCTATGAAGCTATGCCAGGAAAGGAAGTACTTTGTGCATGCCCCAGAAGTATACTACCACTCTACTAAGGTATGAGTATTAGGTAGTCTTCAGGAAGGAACCTTGCACCTTTTTATTCAGTAGCCTCACCTGATCTGGGATAAATAAGGTGCTGCTCTCACTCTTACAGACTGCCCTCAATTGTTATTACATTTTTCCTTTTTCCAATTAAGATATGCCACGGCTGCCCACATGTCGAACGACATTTCTGTGGCCATGGTGAATGGGAATTGGAAAGGGGCACACAAGCTCTATGAGACTGCCAGAGAAATGTGGCAGGAATTGCAACATCACCCTTCTCTCAGGTAGGACCCTCGTGGGGGGAGCAGGGAGAGCTGCACACATGGCTAAACATTTTGGCGTTGGGCTCAACACAGATGTAACACAGAACCAGATTTGGGGCGGAAAGGGACTCTCAGGTTTTGTGTTGTGCTGCAGTTAGTGGAACTGTAAGACACCCCTGGGGCTTTAACTGGAATGAATCATAACAAAACAGAGCTGGGGGATGTAGAAGGAAATTTGCAGAAGAGGGAGGAGGGGGGATTGAAAAATCTGTCATTTTCTCGCAGCCCCATCTGGAAATGCCAGGGGTTGTGTGAATAATCTTTTTCATGGATTCTACTACTATTCTCTACAGCTGTTTCCCAATGCTGGGTAAGAGAAACAGGTGCATGCTGTAGGAAATGTTTGCTTTCTTATCAACTTTATGTTAATTCAAAACAAATCATTTCTCTGGAGCTTCTGTGCATTCACCTTTGTGTCCCTTGTAGGCTTCATGCAGCCCTTCCAGAATATCTCCGGCGTTTCACAGTCGGGTGGGTGTATACACGGATCCTTTCACGCGGTGTTGAGATCTTGCAGAGGCTTCACATGTATGAGGTAATACGGTGGGCAGACTAAACTCTAGAGACACCCAGTACAGAAGTCGTACAGGTGGCTAGGACCCCAATACGCCATGCTCAGCCTAGTTGCATATGATATCAAGGGCAAGGTTTAGGATCTGCCTTGTATTTAAGCACTTGCCTGGTTGCCACAGGGTGACCGGTAGTTCCATGGAGGCAAGTAACTAGGCCGGTGGAGGTGAGCAGGTCTGGCGCGTCGTCTTATCCATTTGATCATGGACGTTCCCTTTCACTCCATTCCTCATTTGCTAACCTGTTTTGTGGAAGGAAATGCCTTTTGGTTACTGGACTGCTGGAAACATCCAGTCTGGCCCCTGGAGGAGAGGGGCTCTGCGACCAAACTGTTTCAAGAAAACCGTGTTTTGTTGCACCAAATTACAAGGTTCTTCAGCCAAAAGGTTCCCTTCCTCCCTGCACGTCTTTCTCCATTTATTTTTTCCTAGAATGACCCAGCGTAACAGCTTGTACTTAAGGGTTTTTGCCTTTTATGGGCAGAATTCTCTTTGGAAAGGCAGAGCGTAATGGATCCGTAAGGCAGCGTCCCCTACTTGGTTTCCTCTTTGCCTAAAACTCTGAGCTGTGCCGAAAAGTAGCGGGGCCTAGGCACAAAGATTAGAAGGACAGCTACGAAAGCAAGAGGTGGCCTGTGTGTTGGGCAGGTCCGTCCCATCGCTGTTTCTCCCCATGATGCAAATGCGGGAAACCCAGGGAAAAGAGGGTCCAGCCTAGCTGAGCTCACCCCTTGTGAGCAGAGAAGAGGGAGTTTCGAAATGGGAGTTTCCTGATTCGCAGTTCATTCTCCGAGCTGCTGCACTGCACGCGCACCGGTTGGGTGAAGTGGCTCCCTTTCCTCTCAGAAGTGGGAACTGTGTCGCCGAAAGACTCTTTCTCTTGTGGCCGACCTTGTCTCGTTTCTAGGAGGCGGTGGAGCAGCTACAAGACCTGTTGGGTCAGGAGGTGTATTGTACCGACAGCCGAGGACGTTGGTGGGATCGGTTGGCGCTTAACTTACACCAGCACTTGAAAGACACAGAGAAGGTAATGCTCCTCCCGCCGTTCTGGTTGCCAGCTAGTCAGGGGCTGTGTCTTGCTCAGGAGGTGCACCCCCTGCCCCAACACACTCACCTTCCAACTCCCAAGCTTCTCACATGAGAAGCTTCCACCTGAGGTGAGCATAACGTTTGTAAGTTTTCTCTTGTGATCCGTCTCCCTTGTCTTGGCCTGGGGTGTGTGTGTGTGTGCCTTTTGTTGCGTCTCTGCAATGGCTGTTTTTTCTCCCAGGCGGTTGGATGTATCAGGAAAGGCCTCCAGGATCCGTTTGTTCGCACGGGCCATCGCCTCTCCCTCTCCCAGCGAGCCCAGAGGATGAAAGAGTTGCCGGCCTGTAAGAGGTTCAGGCCTCTCCTTCAAGACCTGCCTCTTTTCCCCGTGGAAGATGTTGTGCATGTGAGTAATCGCTGTGTGCCTTCCTGGAGGAAGCCCCAGTGTAGATAAATCTCAGGCATCCCTGAGACCACATCCAGCCCTCTTGCATTCTCCAGAGGGCCACCCTGCCTTGCTCCTGAGACACTCCTTTTGTGGGCTGAAGCCCAACAACATCTTGACGGATGTAGGTTTCATGCCAGTAGCTTCCCAAGATTTTAGGGGTTGGCGTTAGGTCCACCTGGAATTGCTGCAGATCGAACCTGGGACGTTCGCCGTGCAAAGCGCCGGCACTGCGGCCAGGATACGGCCCCGAACCGTCAGCTCTCTCTACCCAGCATTTCTCCTCCTGATTGAGACCATGGAGAGCTACCATAGGAGATGCCCTTTGATCCGTGTTATTCTTTGAGCTCGCGAGGGGTGGAGGATAATATATCCTGTATATAACCTTCATGACCTTGTTAATGGACGCTAGCGTTTGCCATCACATTTTATGCCTATTTCATGTATATGGCTGGGGACTTGTATATTGGGTTTCATTTTATTTTTAAATAGGGGCATTTAAAAGTCATTCCTTCTTGCTTGCTCCTCTGTTTACCCCCCCCAGCCCTAATCCTCTGAAGAACGGTGCTTGACTTCCCATGTGCAAGAACAAATACGGCCCAAACGGGGGGTGGGGGTGGTGGTTTCTGTGCTGGTTCTGCCATCTGGGCCCACGGGCTGTTTCTTGCCAGACTGGATTCAAGAGGCATCGGAAGCGCGTTCTCCCATATTGTCCTTCTCCTCTGCCCCCACTCAAGAGCTGCAGTAGCTGCTCGGAGCTTCCTTCTGCCATGTTCAGGAACACATTTCCACCCAGACAGCACCTCCGTTTGTCAGTTCCCAGATTGAGTCAAACTGCTGACAGAAAGATGGCGGATGTAAATGTTAGATGCCTTATTTTTAGCTTGACACTTAACGGGTGTGAAACAAGTTCAAGTCTTCCTCCTTGCAGATTATAATTTAGGAGGGAAGCGTGCCCTTGTTAGAGGCCTCTTCGCTTGACTAGGATTTTGAACCATTTTGTTGCTACCTCACCTTGGGTGTTTTTAAGAAGAAAGGAGGGGTAAAACTATTGTAGGTAGGTAGGTAGGTAGATTGATTGATTGATTGATTATCCCCCCCCCCAAAAAAAAATTGGATTGTGTTGGTGATTTACATGCGTGGAAGTGAAATCACAGAAGGCACAGTGTCGTTTAGGTTCCTGGTTCTGTGTCCGGGTGTGGAGAGGGCTTGTGACCACATGGGCTTTTCCTGATGGGTTTTCTGGGGTGTTCTCATTTGCTCAGGTCACCATCAAAGGAAAGCTGTGCCCGCAAACCGGGATGGGGAAGTCTGTGTTCATTGTGGATGAAGTGGACCACGGAGAAAACCTTGAACCCTCGACAGCGGTGTGCTGCGTGGAGGAACTTGCCTTGGCCCACTACAGGCAGTGTGGCTTCGACCAAGGTGATGTCGGCTCTTTGGCAGGCATGGAGGGGGGGCGCGGGGGCCAAGGAATCAGCACGCTGCCATCATGTCCCACTAGTGTGACCAACAGATAGAAAGACATCCCCACGCCCAGCAGTCCAAAGGACCAGGGGCTGGTCAGAGAGGGGTGGTCCAGATACTTAATGGTCTCTTCAGGAAGGAGAAAGGGACCTGAAATGCCCCTGTTGAAATATCTGGGATAGGTTTTGTTTTGACCTGCCAGTTTTTCCTTAGGGACACAGGAAGCTGCCTTCTACAGAGTCCGACTTTTGGTCCATCTAGCTTAGCACGGACTGGCAGCAGTCATTTTTCAGGGCTTTAGGCTGGATGGTTTTCTCGCCCTCGTGGGAGATGCTTTCTGAAACTGGCCCATGATGTCCCGCAGACAGAGGAGGTGCTCTACCTGCTAGAACACCCAGGAGTCCCTGTGGGTCCCTCCTCCAAGTTGTCACCAGGGCCAAGCCTGCTTAGCTTCAGAGGAGATCAGGCCTGTTCGAGGGGGTGGGCAGGTTTTAACCAGCTCTCTTAGAGGGATCGGTGTCCTTTGCAGATTGCTGGTCCTCTTAAATATTCTGAAATGGATTTTGTGCTTGTGACTCGTTAGGGATGCATGGGGAAGGATCAACGTTTAGCACACTCTACGGCCTCCTGATGTGGGAAATCCTCTTCATGGATGGCATCCCCGATGTCTTCAGGAATCCTTACCAGGTAGGCTTCATTTAAAAAAATGTGTAACTTCTGCTCAGAGATTCTGCGACTTAAGGATCCCAAACGGCTTCTTTTAAGTTTGCAGCATGTCCCACCAAAAGATTCTGTGGGACATTATTGCACAGTGCATAATTTTTTCAATTCTTCTTACACAGAAAGCACCAGAATGTTACTTAATCTGCCACACCTGCGGCTTAGAACATCAAAAATTTTTACTTTTTTAGTAGATGACACCATGCTGAAGTTTTCAGCTGAGCATGCAGTTAGCACCACATGGCTGACTGCAAATCAGGGCTGCCTTGCTCACATTGCATGCATTTGGTGATCCTGCTGGCAACCAAGGGCCACATGCCATGGGATGAATAGACTGGGAAATGAAATAAGCAGAGTGACGCAGGGGCTGTGCTCGCTGAAAGATGTAGTCCAGGCAATTGGGACTCCCAACTGTGTCTCCCTACAGGCTTTCCCCCTGGATTTGTACACAGACAGTTTTTACGAGAACCGGCAGTTGGCCATCGAGTCCAGACTCCAGTCGCTGCACGAGGCTTCCCCGGAGACCCTGATGGAATGGATTGCAGAGGTCTGGGAGGCTCAGGAGGGAAAGGTGGCCGCGCTGATCAGCTGGGACCGCTTCTCGTCCCTCCAGCAGGCACAGGTAAGAGCCCAAGCCCCTTCGCCCTGAACGGTTCTGCCCCACAGAGGGGCTGTTCCCTTGTTATGTGCCGTGCGTACAGCAGGTTTGGGCAGGGGAAGTTGCCAAGGCTCAGATCTCTTCCAACTGCTTTATGCCACTTCTAAGGTGTACTCTTTTAAGTTACAAAGTGTTTTTTTTTGCTTTGGCTTTTTTATCAGCGAGACCCACAAGCTAAGTGGAGGTGGGGGATGAGGAATCAAAATCAATGGCTATGACATGGAAGGGCTCGGCTTGAGGTTGTTCTAAATTATTGTTTGCCAAAATGCTGGGAAATAGGTGCCGTCCAATGTAGCTGAACTACAGTTCCCATAATCCTTCACTATTGTGGATATCGCTTGGGGGCTGATGTTGGGACATGCAGGCCAAATGTATTTAGAAGGCAAAATTTGCCCAACCATAGGCTTGCAAAAATGGCTTTTGTTTTGATTGTGTGGCATTTTGGATATATAGAAACTCTTTGTTAGTGTGCACATTTGTGCCTATATAATCCATTTCAAATCACAGGGTGGGCTGTTGCACGCATGATTCAAGAAACCTTAGCAAAAGCTCATTTGGTTATCTCTGTTTTTGCACATGATTAAAATTATAATGCACACTACTCCTTCAAAACTATTTTAAGATGGTGCACCAGCCACTTTTTGAGAAGCATTCCGCTTTGGTAGGATGATGCTTCTTTAAACTGCTGCCACCTGCAGTTTTTATAAGTAATCATACAGTATATTTAAAGATGTTGCTTTTAGAGCAGAGATGCCTTTAGTCAAATTAAACATTTCAAAGTCTAATAAATAAATTGGTTAAAGATTTCTGCTCCGGTAATTCATATGATTACTCTATTAGAGCTTTACAGGGGAAGATGGTGGGGTGGGTGGGAGAGAGAGAGAAGCAAGATGAGTCATGACAAATATATGTGTGGATTTACTAACGTGTTTGGTTTTGGGAGGTGGGGCAGGGAGACAGCCCGAAGGGAAGCCCAATCTTCAGACTTTCAGGAGAGCACATGTAAGGCTTTAGTAACTAATGGCTTGTGAAGCAGAAGTGAATTCATGTGGGTCTGATGAGAAGAACAGGCTCCCAGGACTTCTTCTGAAGTTGTCATAGTTTGGGAAGTTCCAAGGCCAGCCTTCAGTGTAAGGTGAAGGAAAGGAGGACGGCATTTACCAACTCACAAAGGATCATCTGGATTTTGTAGGGGTGGGGCTTCTTTTGAGTCCAGAGGTGAGGGCTGTAAGATGACGATGGGCCAAGGCTGCATCCCTGCCACCTAGGCGGGCGGATGTTGCTGGAGTCCCCCTGGAAGGGGCTGTGCTGCGCTGCCGCCTCTGATCACTGGCTTGAGGCGCACAGAACGCGCGAGTGAAAACATGATTTGGAAGAAATAAAATGGACCTTGATGTCTGCAGAGCCTGGCGCGTTGCCTCGGAGGCCCTTTTCTGAGTGGTGTTTTCCGGCGATTCTCCAAAGACCTCCGGCACTACAGGGGTGGACTTCCAGATCTCGTCGTCTGGCGAACTGAAGATCACCAGTTTAAGGTGCGTTCCCAGTTGTTTTGAGGGATGGTGCTCTCTGATGCGACACACAACATGGGGACCGTTCTCTTGTACTGCCTTGAGGGTGGCCGTATATGTCTTAGTTCTCTCATGCATGCAGTTTTGCCCTGGGAAACCGCCCTTTGGAAGATGGACCAAGAACCGATGGGTAGAGCCCTGGGTCTCTTCTCCCATCATAAGCCCCCAGAATCCCTACCCAGAAGAGGCAGTGGAAAGAGACTTGTGAGAATTATCCTCCAGGCGGCCTGGAGGGTCAGAAATTTCTCACCGCGAACCTAGGATAAAGGGCAGCCCTCTTCCCAATATAAGCAATGTTAAGCTGGAGCAGAGCTTCTTCCATGATTACCCCAAGCTGTAGCGCTCCTTCCCCGGGGAGGCCCACCAACTGGAATTCCGTAAGAGACGTCAGAAGTCTGGCACTGGCCTTATCCCGGATTCTTTTCAGACTGAATATAGATCTTTTGCTTGTCAAGCAAAAAACTCCCCCGGGTTCATATTTTGGCATTTTCAGCACAAAAATCTGAAAAGCTGCAGTTGGTGAGTGTAGGCAGAACAGCGCTAGAAACCCAGGGGTCTACCTCTGTAAAAAGGAGCTTCCTATGGACTGCTGTGCTGTCCTGTGTTGTTTTGTTATCATTTTCTGGTTAATGGGTATGTGTTTGAGCTGTTTTTATAGTTAATCAGTTTCCAGCACTCCATTAGTCTTGGAAATGGCACATAGGTACGCATTCATCCGTTCCATTTATTGATATGCTGCTCAACAAGGAAGGATAAAGAGAACTATTCAAGGCAGAGACTCTTATTCTGAATTCCTCTTATTTTTTCACTCACAAGCCTTTGCCTCTTCCTTTCATTTTTAAAGCACACTGCGTTATAAAGTCTGTATAGTAGCAATTCCTGTTTCTTGTTGAACGACAGGCGAACCTGCCTCTGGTCTCATATTTCTTATGTCTGCATTACCATAGAATAATGGTATAAGCTGACTCTCTGATCAAGCTGTTATCCCGCCCCCCAAGGATGATGCCCACAAAAGATTACATCAGAACAAGCCTTCTAAAGGGAAGTTTTCTATGAAAACCTTTTGTAGGAGGCACAATGCTGCTTTCCTTTCGCTGAAACACACAGGCTACCTTGCTTGAATTGTTTTGCTGCGACAGTTTTGCTTTCAACATTGTTTATGATTTCAAAACCAGGACAGAAGCCAGCAGCCATAAGAAAGCTGGAAGCAGGCAACTTTTGCTGAGCTGACCAGCACAAATAAGCCAGATTACTATTTGCTCTACTGCACAGGTTCATCAACCTTGTTATGGTTGACTTGGTCCTCATTGCAAAAAAAATGTCTTGCAACTTCTGTTTGTGGCTGAAAAGGCAGGGCACCCCCAGTAAGGGGGACTAGACATTAACATAGCAGCCTTACAGGATTTACTAAGAGAGGTAGTGGGTGGGACAGGGGCTGTCTGTCAGCTTGTTCATGCACCGGTTTGCATTTCCGCAGAATTCAGGCAAAGTAGACAAGAGATTTCTGTGCAGAATCTTAGCTTTCAGTAAGATGTTGTTAATGCAGAGGTACATTTGAAAGCATGTAGAGACCATCACTGATGAAATCTCAGAAATGAAAAAGATGATGCATGATTTTTGTGCTTCTACATCAGGGTTGGGTAACGGTAGGCTTACAGGTGCTTTTCCACTGTAGTTTCTCCTATCTCGCACCACCACCTAGGTGAGTTTGCAGGAGCTGGAAGCCGAAAAGATCTGATTTGACCTGCGGTCCTGTCAGTGACGACTTGGTTTCTCTTTCCCCCATTTCAGCTGGTGGAAGTGAAGGGTCCCAACGACCGCTTGTCTCATAAGCAGATGCTGTGGCTTGCGGAACTGCAGAAGTTGGGAGCACCGGTGGAAGTCTGCCACGTGGTTGCGGTGGGATCCAAAAGCCAGCGCTGGAGTTGATAAAAGCTGGTGGCGGCGGTGGCCGGATGCAAGACTGGTTATTCAATACATTTTGGGCACTTCCCTCTGTGCTTTCTTGGGTGTAGAAAATTCTTGATTTCTCAGAGTGTGTAGGGTGCAGCTGCCTTATTCTGAAGAAAAGAGTGACTTTGAAGGCCTTCTTTTGACCAGATGTTTTTTTATCAGATGTGCCTATTTTACACTTCTAATGCAGGATTTAAGTTTCATTTAAAAATAACCCAGTCTGGTTTTAAGCCCTGTCCCTCTTCCATTTCCTGTGGCATGGTAGGACATTTCAGGGTGTTCCTACAGTGTTAAAAAAAGTGTTGCCACATCTGGAAAACTAGCCCAATTTACTTCAGGGACCTTTTGTGAATTGCAACCTGCTTCGTGGTGCCATGAACCCTCATACTAGTCTTAAAGGTGCCCCAATACATAGGTTTCATTTTTTGCCTGTGAGTGCAGCAGACAAACATAGCTACCTGAAGAGCTGCTTCTGCATGGTTATGCAAAGAAATACATAGAATTCTGAGTGTGAGTTACACTTTGATCGATACAGCAACATATATTATCAGGTTGCACTTTTCCGAGGAGTTTAAAAGTTGTATCCGGGGGACTGCTCTTTCCTGTGGCTTTATTCTGACCCCTTTCCTCCTGTAGGCAGAGTGTTAAAGGGAACCCCTTTTGCATGGCTTTACTTTCACCAGCTCTGCCCCCCTTCCTTCCAATGGGGGCAAAGATTCTGCCCTTCTTCTGTAATTAAACACACACTCTACTCAGTGATGGAACAGGCTGCTTGCTGGAACCATCTGTTCAAAGCAGTTTTGGAAAAACCCTGTTCTGCGCATGTAGAACTCTGCACCCTTACAAAGACGGCTCTGTTCTCAACAGTATCAGTGTAGAAGGATGGTGCCGTGCAAAGGAAGTACCATCCCAGTCAGAAAAGCAGAGAAGGAGCTCCACACAGCAGGCAGAAGTAGAAAGGTCTGCTTTAATTAAACCCAGTTTACTTCACATTCACAACGGTGGCAGGGTTGCTTGTGTCTCTTCAGCTCTGTTTTGCTCAAGTAAGGCATGGGTGGCTTGAGATAATTGTTCCAAAGGAAAGGATTTCTTTCAGTCTTCCCAGGTAAACTACCTAGGAGCCCCACCTACTGCTATTGGTGAGAAGTTACCTTTTCTTAAGCATCATCTCTTCCTTAAATAAGGTTAGAGAGATGTTTGGCTTTCTCTGTGTACCTTTCCTTTAGAGATTCAACAGCCAGAACTAAGGGGTGGGGAAACCACCACTGCCACACACACACACACCCCAAATATATATGGAATGGAGAAACTTCTACCCTTGTGAAACACACTTTTCAGTGGCGTCTCTTTGGTTCTTGACCTGCACAAAGGGTTAACTATAATTGCACTTCCATGTTAAATTACGTAACAGTCAGCTTCCACTCCACAGTAGCTAAAAGGCATGTTTTCTACTCGGACCACATCAGGGAGCAACTCCGTATGTGAGGGGTTTTCCGCCCTCTCAAATTGTAATTTAATAACTGCAACCCCCTGAAAGCAGCCCAAGCCATACCTTTTGCTGCATAGCACAGGGGAAAGGTACAAAAATAAGCATTTAGTATTCCTAAATTTACCAAAAAAAACCCCAAACAAATAAAAAAAACCTCCTCAAAGGTTAAGTACCTGCTTTTTAAAGAGTCAACTGGGCTCCATTGCCTTCAAGCCAAGTGGCATATAAACTCAAGGATGGGGGTGGTTTGCTGATCTTTGACGAGAACTCAAAGTAAGGCAGTTCACAGTCCCCTAAGCAGCTGGGCTGGTGTTTCCCAAACCCCAGTCATATCAAACCATTCAGTGGAGAAGCTGCATTATCTCAGGGCCAGGTGGCATGGGAGATTAATGCATCACTGCCTTGCTTGCGAGCAGCGATGGCACAAACCGCAGTTTAGCTGCATGGCTGTTTTCCATGGGTGCCCTTGGCTTCCCAGCCCTGCCCGCTCAAGGCCAGCGGTTCCTGCCCATCTTGACTCCTGAGAAGGGGGTTGGTTCCCCTTGCCGTGTGAAGTTGGCTGCTGCTTCTTTCACACTGGCCTCTGGCCTCAACAGCAATCCAAAAATAAAAATAAATACCAGTATTCTAACCCCTTGACCCCTATTACATCTATTTCATTTCGAGAATTAGTAGCATGAGCTATCGCAGGGCCCCGTTTAGACTCCAGTGAAACTCTTGGCTTTGCTGAACCCACTGTAACCGTAAAGCCATTCTGTTCTATTTGGTAAAGACAGTTAAGATTAAAGGCAAAGGTCTGTAACACCGAAAGGATAGAAAGGTCAGCAACTACGCAAAATACACAGTTTTAAAAAAAAGAAAGACCCCTGCCTTTCCCCCGCCCCCCCGGCATGTGATATATAGCACGTCTCAAAAGTTAAAACATCTAGTAACTTCTGCAAAATATATTCATTCGGTTTTCAATTAATTAGCAAAATTTGTTACATCTGAAATGTAGTTAAGACGGTTAGGCATAAAAGTACAGCATCAATTTTAAAAAGTCAGTCTGGTTAAGAAAAAACAAGCGAAAGTTGGAAAATGACAAACTGGACACATACAAAATTTAGCACTGGGACACAAAACATTGTTCCTTTTGACAAAAGAAACACCTCAGACAAGGGATTAACACCACAGATGGCTCGAAAGCAAGCCAGACAAACCTTGGATATTCCCTAGGGATCCCACTTTGAATCTTTTTGAGCTAAAGGTTCAGGAGTTTTACTCCAGAAGTGAGGTGGAAGAAAAGCCATTTCACATGGTGCTTAAACAGATGCTCCGATCCAACTAGGGTCACCCAGGTGGCTGAACGGGACAAGTTGACCATGGCGCTGGGTTATACAACTCGCCAATTCAAACATGCTCAGCGACCGGGGAGGGGTTGCATATGTCAAGTTATGCTCTAGCAGCAGAGGTGATGTGCAAGAAGAAAACTTCTAGGTGCCTGTCAGGAGGCTGTCATTCATGATGCACACTTCATAAGCTAGCGACTTGCTACGACACAGAAACAGCCCTTAAAATACCTTCACGTGGCTGCCCTGGTGGCGTGTGAGACATGCAACGGCACTCGTTCTATAACCCTGAACATCACCGGTTTAAAAATAAAAGCCTCCAGCAGTAACAGACAGCAGGCTCTTCTGCCTAAAGACTCTGGGGGTGACAGTGCCTCCCCGAATTTGGACCCCCAAAAATTCAAAGACTTCTAGTGAACACCAAATCTGGACCCTTTTCCCCAGTAAGGTCACAAGCATGCAAGGAAATCTTCCTAGTGAGGAAATCCATCCTGATTTCATCATATTCAGTGCAGTTCATAACAAACTGTGATTAGGCTATTGCTATTTATTTTTTTAAAAAAAATGTTTTCCCAGGTCTTGGGATAATTGGCTTTGGTAGGTTCTAGAAACTGTTCTATGAAGATGACTTTGAAAATGGATTGTGGGTTCTACGGGAAGGGAGCGTATTAGCTTACCTGATGAGAGGAACTGAATTCCATGGAAGAGAGATTTTTAAAAAAAGTGTAATGCAAGAAAAGGCACTTTTATGTCCATGATGAAAAGCTGCGATTCTGGATTTGTGGTAATGTAATGTAATGCTGCGCTCCACTTCCAGAGCTGGCCTTGGTAGCTAATTGCCCATCTCCCGCTTCCTCAGTTAACGTTACACAGGAATCTATTAAACAGGGTCAGAGTGGACAACGGTTCCCTTCAGCCCAGTCAATGGCAAAGTGGGCTGGGAGTTATAGTTTTAACATTTGGAAAAAGCACAGGTGGCCCACCCACCCATGGAACTGTCTCAACCATAAAGAAAAGGAGCAATTTACTCACAAGAGTTGAGAAGTAGAGAGTATTTTCTCTTGCTGTTTGTTCCTAATATAAGCCTCAGCTAAGAGTCCTTGGCAGTAACCTCAGTCAGCACCAACTGATAGCCCTCGCTGTACTTTATAGGTAGACGCAGTAAAATAAAAGGCATCCTCAAAGCCTGAACAAAGAGGAGAAAAATAGATTCACAGGCTAAGCCAGATCATGCCTCTGGTATTCATACAAAACTTGCTAGACACTTAAACCTATTCAAATGTAAAAAGCTAACTCTAAACTTTGGCTGATTTCAATTACGCCTTTTAGCAAAGTGCCTAGCCTTAGTTGGCTCATACCACAAAATTTGCACCTTGACCAAATACAGAACTTATGTCTGCACGAGTCAGGTAAAGGTTCCCCTTGACATTTGGTCCAGTCATGTCTGACTCTTCCCCGTCTCCAAACCATAGAGCCAGTGTTTGTCCGAAGACAGTTTCTGTGGTCACGTGGCCAACGCGACTAGACACGGAACGCTGTTTTACCTTCCCACCGAGGTGGTACCTATTTATCTATTTGCATTTTTACATGCTTTTGAACGGCTAGGTTGTCAGGAGCTGGGACAAGTGACGGGAGCTCACTCCATGTGGATTTGATCTTACAACGGCTGGTCTTCTGACCTTGCAGCACACAGGCTTCTGCGGTTTAACCTGCCGCGCCACCCACATCCCTTCTGTACGAGTAATAGCAATCAATTCTGGCCCTGGAAATCTCTTTTTTTTCCCCTACTGGTACTTGTCTTCATCTGTTGATCAAATGGACAAGAGACTGGGTTCCATCAGCGGAGAGGGAGGGGGGCCTCCCAACGCAAACAGAACAGGATTAGTCACCGTGCTGAAGCTTTGTTGTATATAAAGATATATCTGTGCCTTAGGTGCCAAGCCAGATTTAGAAAGCAGGAAGAGCCATTGAAAAGAAGACAAGAGAATCAATGAGGGACATCTGCAGAAAAAGAACATTTGTGCGTTGTGAAAGCATGACACACTTGCTTTTAAATACTTTGTGCAAAAACACAGGTAACCTTGTTTGATAAAGTTATTACAGCTTCTGGTAAGCAGTATTGTGTAGAGACAGTGCTGCCCTGGTTCCGAGAGCATCAGTCTTCATTGGCAAGGGTCTCTGTGGACAGCCAGATTTTGGCACCACTTAAGAATTTGCTAAGTGGGGTTCCCAGAATGCTCCTCCGGCAAAGATTCCCAACAGGAGAAAAGGGGAAGGAAGAAGAGAGGAACTCGGGGGTGACGGCAGTGTCGTGGAGCCCATGGGCTCTGAAGTACATCCGACTGTGCTCCAGTTCTGAAGGTCTGATGAGGAAAGGCAGGCTGCCGTTGTGTTGTCGCAGGCTCCGGCTGAGAGCGTCTACTTCGTCTGCCAGCAAGGAGATTTTGTGGAAGGCGGTAATGAACCCCCCGCTGTTGATCTGGGCCTCTGGGACCCAGCGGAAGTAGCAGAGTTTCCAGAGTTTGATTTGTGTTCCAGAAAGGCAGGGCAGGAGGACGCCGTGCAGGTCAACGGGCTTGGAGAACCACTCTCGGAGATATGGCTCCAGGCCGTTGGTGGGACTGTCTGTGTGATGAAGGAAGTCCGGTTTCAGTTTTAGAATGAGGGAGTTTCTTCTCGGAAGAAAGTCTTGCTCGCTGATCATCCCGTTTTTTAGGGATGGTGGGAGGCCTCTGAGAGTCGAACTGTAGCTCTTCTGGGAGGCAAAATACATTTCAGTTTTCCATTACTTTCAACGTTCGCACAGGTAGTTACATTTAAGCTCCCCCCCCCCTTTCCCACAAGGAATCAATACGTGGAGCTGCTAACTAAGGCGCTGTTGTGAATTTGCAAAGATTGACCCCAGGAGTGGAGGCCCTTTCTGCTGCAGTCTTTTTTCAGGAATAAGAAGATAGAAAGGAGCTTTTTTAAAAGGGGCAAACTCTTTCCACAGTATGAACCAAGGCACATGCAAGCCACTGCCTAGGACGAGCACTGGATAAACTGCTGAAGAGAGACAGACTGACTAACTAACTGAGAGATTAGTCATGCATGAATTCTGCTCACTTGTTTCATGTTCATGTGTCCTGTTCTCATGAGAGCTGGAAGCCTGGAGGGCATTTAGTCAACTTTTAAAGAACATGCTCCACTGTGAAAACATTTCTTAGGTGGGTGGAATACTAATTACAGGTTTGCCCTGCTCAGAGAAGACTGGATAACTTAAAACCAGCAACAGATCCACTATAATTTTCTTCCTTCTGTATTTTGTACTACCTCAGTGACTTGAGAACTGGTTCTCTGAAACACCTGGACAATCAATGGGAAAGGAAAACATCTAAGAAATTGTTGGAATGAACACCCACCAAAACATGGCTGTAATGCCGAAGCCTGCAGAGCTCAGCTCGGTGCTATTTGAAGAGGGTGGCTTATTATTATTTTTTTGCAAGCCACCAGCTGGTCCTAGTTCCTAGTATAGCTCCACCTTAGCTTGAAAACAGGTTCTCTTTCCTGGCCTAGCACATATCACCAGAGGCTAGCAACCTTAAGGAGGATACCTACGAACTGGAGCAAATTCAGAGGAAAGCAACAAGGAGGATCAGGGGACTGGAAACCAAGCCCTAGGAGGAAAGCCTGAAAGAACTGGGCAGGTTTAGCCTTGGGGGAAAAAAAGCTGAGGGGAGATAGGATAGCACTCTTCAAAGACTTGAAAGGTAGTCCTACAGAGGAGGGGCAGGATCTGTTCTTGATCATTCCAGAGTGCAAGGCATGTAATAAAGGGCTCAGGCAACAGGAAGCCGAATTTAGGCTGAATATTAGGAAAAAGTCCTTAAATGTCAGAGCAGTACAACAACTGAACCAATGACGCTGGGAGGTGGTGAGCGCTCCAACGCTGGGAGGCGGTGAGCACTCCAATGCTGGAGCCCTTCAAGAGAAGATTGGGCAACTACCTGTCCGATCTGCCTTGAGCAGAGGGGTTGGACACTGGGCAACTACCTATCCGATCTGCCTTGAGCAGAGGGGTTGGACTTGATTCCTTTATAGGCCCCTTCCAACTCCGTCGTTCTATGATTCACTATTTATCTATTAGTTTGTCATGCAATCTGACGGGCATTTATGTACCAAGCATCTCTTTTCTGAAGAAAGATGTCAAAACTACAGCTAGCATCTGGAAGAGCCTGGGGCAGCAGGAAGATAATGGAAGCATATATTGGGAAACTGATCAACTTGAGGAGTTGAACCAGAGTTCACATACGATAAAGACAGCCATCACTTTTTGTTACCCAAAGATGGTGCTGCTGTTCATCATCATTTTCTCCTTATTTATGTCTTCAGTGTTCAGATTATCCAACAACTAACTTCACTGTGTCATATACATTAAAATATACTATTCATGCATTAAAGGGAGATGGGAACAGCGCAGAATAAAATCTGAATCTGCCTACTGCAGGAAATGCCCGTTTATCTTTAATATCTAGCTTGATTCTCAAATACTTCCAGAGACAAAGTAACACAAAATTTATATATATATGTGTGAAAGCATCGTTGAACGGAACGTAAAAACCCATTGGAACGCATTAAACATGGTTTAATGCGTTCCAATTGGGCCAAATACTCACCGTTCAGCGATGCTTCAGGATGGCCGGCAGCCATTTTCGCGCCCTCCCCTCGCTTACCATCACGGCCCCGTTGTGCACACACGGCACACTCTTCCCAATGTACAAGGGGTTGTGGAAGAGCATGCGATCCCTCAGATTATGCTGAAGAGACCAATCCCAGACAGAAGGAAACTTCAGGCCTTTCTCGTCACCCAGCTGGATGTTTTTGCTTATGGCAAATTCCTGAAAGAAAGAAGTTCCAGATGCATTCAGCAACAACAACAAAAGGAAATCTATTCATGAATATAAAGCATGGCTGTCTCGCCCCCTTCTTCTGCGCTAGCTCTCCTCCAGGACTGAAACAAACTTCTTTTCTGAAGGAGAAAACAGCGTATTAAAAAAAAAAGGGGGGGGGGAAGAGCTGTGCTGGTTTGTAAAATCTGATAAAATACAGGCAGGTCAATGCCTCTACTTTGACCAAGATGCATTCAGCAAAAACAAAAGGAAATCTATTCATGAATATAAAGCATGGCTGTCTCTCCCTTCTTCTGCCGCTAGCTCTCCTCCAGGACTGAAACAAACTTCTTTTCTGAAGGAGAAAACAGCATATTTTTAAAAAAAAGGGGGGGGGAGAGCTGTCCAGATGCATTCAGCAACAACAACAAAAGGAAATCTATTCATGAATATAAAGCATGGCTGTCTCTCCCTTCTTCTGCCGCTAGCTCTCCTCCAGGACTGAAACAAACTTCTTTTCTGAAGGAGAAAACAGCATATTTTTAAAAAAAAGGGGGGGGGAGAGCTGTGCTTGTTTGTAAAATCTGATAAAATACAGGCAGGTCAATGCCTCTACTTTGACCAATTACAATTCTAAAAGAGTGCAAACATCTTGAGTTCAGCCGAAGTGTTCATCTGGCTTGATAGTTTTAAAAGGGGAGGGGGAGAGCACAAAGGGAAAATGGAAGCACAGAGGTCCCAAACATTTGGTTGGATATTTTACCTCCACTCGGTTTCAAATGGAAAAGGAAACCTGTTTAGCAACCTACCTCTTTTTTTTTTAACATAGATATTTTTCTGTATCTAGCCTTTATCAAATCAATTAAGCCTAGCATTCTCCTCGAATGATGAGCTGGGTTGGAGAACAGAATATATCATGCCTTTATTGATGTAATTTTGCCCTGCTCTCAGCAAACTGCAAAAGAGGCCTGTCATGAACTAATATTTTCAAGAAAGATTTCCTCACGATTCCCCCGTACAGCGGTCTAAACCAACACCCTCCAAGAAACCTTTATTCCCCCTCCTTGGGTAGTTTTGCTGAAGCTTCCCTAAAGTTGAAGAGCCAAATTGTTAGGCGGCAACACTTCATGGGCTCTACAAAGCAACGTGGCCCTTCACGTCCACCTGGATAGCAACCACTGCTCTTCCTTAGAACTAATTAGCAAGCAGCTCAGCACCTCTCTTTGTGATCAACACCCCAGCTGCTCCTTTTATAGCTGTGCGGTCAATGACCTGCTATTCTGGGGTTGTACAAAGTCAACCTGTTTGCACAATTATTAACGGCTGTCCTCTCGCAGTGGACAAACTCAGCGGTCGAGGGCATTTGAGTTCAAAGCCTCTTTTGTACCCACCGTGCTTTGCTTTACTCGCTGATGTGGAGAATTGAAGAGGAAAGTACCAAACAGGGAGATGCGTGTGCTGTCGTACAGTATCGTCAAGTACGTTTCGGAAAACTCAAAGGCCGAAGGGTATTGTTCCAGCAGCTGCCAGACACAGTCCAGAAACATCAAGAATAAAGGGGACTGAAATGGAAAAGGAAGGGCAAATCACAAATCAGACACATACAACCTGGGCAAATTTGCTCAGTCTCCTAAACTAGGGGCTCCCAACCCCCGGTCCTCAGCCCCAGTCCGGTCCATGGGCTTCCTTGAACTGGGCTGTCGACACAAATCTCTGCCCCCTGACACGACCCTCTGAGAGTGTGACACACCCACCTACAAGCATGGGGGAGCCCGCACCCCCCAAACAGTCCTAGAAAGGTTGGGGACCACTGTCCTAAACCAAACAGAGCAACCATTGAACCTACATTTTGAGCATGAAGCTATCCTGGGTAAAATAGGTGTACAAAATGGGGAGCCATTTGAACAAATCCACTAAACATTTTCTACCTCTCTTCAGGAGATAAATTTTCATCCCAAACACCCCCACCAAACTCAGGAAAACTAAGAGCATTTCTAATCTTACTGGATTACAGCCTGCATATCTGCATATTCCCTGCTTAAAACGCTCCCTTCGCTCATGCTGTATAAAAAAATCCCCCAACACTGAGATCATTAAAACAGGGGCATCGATCCTAGCTTTGGGTGGAAAGCTGTTTGAGCCCATTTTACCTACAAACCACCCCTTTAACACAGGCAGGCCTATTTTTTAGCTCCATTTACCTCCTTGTCAGATTTCTTCAGGTGATTACACCTATCCAGAAACGGATACCCAGCCATGACCCACTCCTTCTGAACCAGGCTCTGAAATCCACCCATGGTCCGGAAATAGGGATCCAACATCACTTGGACGAGGGAAGCCACGCAGCAGCTCAGGTCCCGGCCTTCCTCCTCTACAGTTGGGTGTTCAGAGGAATGTCAACGGGAAAAAGAAGGAAAGGGGAACAGTTTCACACTGGGAATTCTTGGCTGGCTGGTGCAGACTGAGATCTGTTTTAAAATCCCTACACATTGAGTCAGAATATCCTTTATATGCCAATCAATCTCTGGCGTAACACCTCAGTTTCCCTTGGATAAAAGTCCTGGGAAAAAAACAAGTGAGAGGAAGAAAGAGCTCTCTTTGTGCCATAGCCCAGGGATAAATACATGGCAAGGAATTTTATGAAATCCCACCCTTGATGCCCAACCGTGCTGCCCAAATTTTTCCTGCAGCTTTGGCATGTTCCTAAGAAACCCAAATGCAGGAATAGGGCAATCTCTTTATTAAAAAAAAAATAAATTGCAAGTTTTCATGGAGGAAATCCTTTCTAAATTAAAGCAACTTACCTTGTAAAACTACCGAAACATGCTTACTGTCCAGCATGTATACAAGTTCTGCAGAATGCTTCAGGAAGAGTCTAGACCAAAGAAAAAGGAAAATTAATTAATTTAGGTACATCAAAAAAGACTGTAAGTTTGCGGGATGCTTTGCCACAATGATCAACCTCTAGCTATTTTTATTATTTGGGGAAGTTTAATTTTCCAGAACTAAGTTGGCTGTGTTTAAGATTCTTGTTTCTACAAAATGTACACACAGAGAACGCTTCTGAGTTATCAGCCCTTCAAGTTACACATCCCTTAGCTGTATCTTGTTCATAACCCATCTAAGACGTAAGGCCGCTTGTTGACTCTTCTGGAAGCTTTGATTCCCACCTCTGGACATACCTTACATATTCTAGCCAACGTGAATTATCCAGCAAGGACAGCCATTTTTCCTCTGTTTCTTCAAAAGGTTCTGCAAATGGAAGAAATGATCTTTTCAAGAACAAAATTAAACTGTCTTTTCTACAGAAATTCCAAACAAGTGGCTTTATGAACTAGGGTTGTGTGGTAGCCATCCACGAAGTGGGATTCTCAGAGGTATGTCCTCTGGGGTTCTGAGCAGACCACCCCCACTTTACCCACGGAAAAGGGTCATGTCAGCAATGCTATGGTTAGGAATGTGAAATCCCAATTATACCCGGAAAGGTGCATGAGTCACCTTTGGGCCCGGAGAAGCTCTACATGTGCATTCCACCCCACCCCCAAACAAACACACACACACACACACACACACACACACACACACACACACACACAGAGAGAGAAGTGTTTCATGGAAACCCATGTATTAGTTCTGCCCTATCTATCTACTACCCTCAACTGGCTGGAGGGGTTTTCTCTACTTCAGGATGCTTGTTCTGCTCATGCAGCCTTCCTGTGAGTTTTCCAGCGGTGACCGCCAAAATTTTGAAATAGCATGCAGGATTTAAACACCCAAAAAGAATCTGCATTCTCCCTGAATCAGAAGTATGCATTTGGAAGCAAATCATACTGCTTCTCTCTATCTCTCTTCTCCCCCAACATTGCTGCTCTTGATTAAAGTCATTTTGCAAGACAAATGCTTTTTAAGTTCACTCTGCAGTACATATTAGAAAAGGGATTTAAGATTATGCAATGCAGTTGGAGTTAACATTTTTGAATTTCTGGCACAACCCCTCTGCCTGTTTCAATACAGAGTGGTTCTCTCTAAGTTCACACCATCCCTACATACATGCTCAGCCCTCAACTCTGAAGGCAACATTTCTAGATCAAATCACGTCTAGAGTATTCAAGTGGACAGGCATTTGCAGAAAGACAGCGAAAAAGGTTTCAAGGACCTACCATTCACACACAATTGCTTGAGTTTTAAAAAGGCAGACTGGATTTCTTGGATGTTCGGTAAACCTTTGTCCAAGTCAGATTTGTAAACATCACTTCTCTGCGGATGACTACGAGTGATTGCATTGCATATCCTGCCGTTTAAAAATATATAGTAAGAGAAATCACATTATCTGTAGTGTTTTCCCAAGGTTACTTTGTCCACCTTAGTCTAAAATGTGCTAAGCAGCAAGCTTGGGGGAGATCCATGTGCATTTTCACCACACAACTCGACTTTTAGAAAACCCACATTGTGCAAAATCTCAAAAAGCAAAGCGTGCTGCTTATATACCACCCCGCAGTGCTTCAAGTACTCTCTGGGCGGTTTACAAGTTAATTATGCAGGCTACACATTGCTGCCACCTCCCAAGCGAGCTGGGTACTCATTTCACTGACCTCAGAAGGATAGAAGGCTGAGTCAACCTTGAGCCGGCTACCTGGGACTGAACCCTGGGTCGTGAGCACAGTTTTGGCTGCAGTACAGCAGTTTAACCACTGCGCCACGAGGCTCAGGTTGAGATAAATGATGCAAATCAAACATCTGTATGGAATGTTGTATGAATTTTGTGGGAGGACTAGGAACAACTCCGAATAACCAAACGTTTTAAAAGGTTTTTTGCTGGATAATGAGAAAGCATTCTTGAATTAACCGTCACTCTTCTTTTCTGATCATAACCCACTGTACTTGAGGATGTGTTGGACCTGCAACACCCAGGGTCTCTCAGCCACCAGGGCCAAAACAGGTCACAACATCAAGAAGGCCAGAAAAAGGTAGCTTCTTTGCTTGCCTTGGCATAACTAGGAAGAGGTGGGGATGAGGGCAGGGTAAGTGTCTTGTGACACATCAGCAGCTTAAATTTAACACAAACTTCCATAGATTATGATCCCTTTGAACGCTCACTGCTCTGGCTCACCACCCATCAGACAACAGGATTGTCTTTACCGTTGATCTATTTTTCGTTGCTGCATCGAATCCCTGATGTTGGCCATTCTCACAAGAGCACTTCCGTTGGAATGATTCCAGCACCACATCTAAAAGAAGTTGGAGAGAGTTCTTCATATTGTGAATACAAGGTGTAAAAATAAAAACTATGTGTTCACCCCCCCAACAACTAAAAAAAAAAACCCCAAACCCAACAACAAAATGCCACCAAACCCTAGTAGCTTCCTGAGACTTAAACTTGCACTTAAATGGGCGTGATGGGTGTGTTATCCTCCTGTAGATGGGCAAAGGGTTTGGAGGGTGTCAGAACTGCTGAAGCCTCAGGACACACATCTTTCAGCTTGGCTTGATACATCATGCCTCCCTCTCTGCTCTGTTAACACAAAATTGGGACTAGAGCCTCAAAAACTGTATTTGGGGGGGGGGGCTATTCATCCCAGGTATCTTTCAGCTAGCTTGCCAACACTAGAACCATCTGTTCCATCCCATTCATCACCACCACAGCAGAAAGCTCTACTAGCATGGTGACGTGGGAGATCCACACACCCCCCCGCTTCCCACTGTAGACGTGGAGTTGACTTATTTCCGCATAAGCAACACCTGCTCACACAAACAGGTCATGGATGCATCCTTGGTGTGAGCAGCAATGAAGTCAACCTCTGCACGCTACAGCACTTGGTGACAGTCGTTTGACTTAAGAGGATACTTACCAGGCGGTGCGCACTAGCAGTTAGGCACCAGTACCAACTGAGAACATTGACTTCACACTTACCGGCATGCGTCTTCCAGGGAAGGCACAGGAATACAGCTTGAGATCTTGATCCGCCAAAGAAGATGGCACTACAAAGTATTCTGGAAGACTGGGAGCAAGACAAAGGGCATCTGTAATAGCGCTGAGTAGAGGAATAACTGAAGTGTTTTCTTTATGTCATTTTGCATTTTCTGAACTCAAAACACAAACGCTCCAAGTTAAAAACACACAAATCAAAGTGAAAATGTTCCACCCTCTGGATAAACGTTCTTCTCATGAAAGCATCCTAGTTCTCCAGCCTCTTTAAAGGGAGAGGATCAGACAGATCAGGTAAGTGAAGAACAATCCATCTCCGCCTCTTCCTCCCAACTGTGAGAAAGCTTTAAACTAAAAGAGCAAACTTACCAGGTAGATATCATGTAACCTTCATTGACTGAACACACGCGCCATTCTGATGCACCCGTTCTTTTGATCTCTCTGTCCCAATCTGAGTATGTTTCTAAGGGTGTCTGTGGGCTGCCACCACCACCACCTCCTCCTCCTCCTGGGTCTAATCCATTCACTTTTTTTGCTACAAGAAAAGTAAATGAAGACTATTTTTAAAAAGCAAGTTGTATTATGCAAATACACAGAAGGACACTCTTTCCCAAGAAATATTCTGAATTGCCCAATTTTAATGTAATTATACACAAACTAGCCCAGAGTCTTACAATGGCAACTGTGAAGGATAGACTACTTGCCAAGCTATAGATTCTAGACAACTGGGTTAGATTTCCATTTGTGCTTGGCTACATTTGTGAACTTGTGAAGATTGATGACGATGAACAGAACATGCAATCAATGCAGCCTGGTTATTTCAAGGCAGCAGCCTCTACAATACTAAAAAGAAATCATCACTGTTGTGAGAAGCATCAAATTTTTTGTCCCCACTTATGGGTTGGCTCAGATTTCCTCTGTGATACGCAGTGAGAATCTTCACATTTGTGAAAAGATCTGAACACAAACTACACAACTGTAAACTATGGTGGCTGTTCCTCTCTTGTGTTGGCTTTCAAGAGGTAGAAGCAGGGAATGAGTTGTTCACATCTTTGTGAGCAATCCACCCCTCCTTCTGTACTTGCTAGGTTTGTACGCTGAGCTTCAGAAAGGGGGGGGAGAGCTGGTTTGCACAGAGACACTTTGTGCAAATGCAGAAATTTCAAGCAAAAAAACTCTGTTTTATTCTCCAGCTGGAGGCAAAAAACAGCAAAAATGAAAAATCTGCTGTGAATTTATCATGTGCCAACTATGTACAGTGAATTATTTGTTTAAAGCAAATAAAAAATGATACAGCACGTTAAGAAGAAAACTATAGCACGCTTCTTCCCTTGGAGTAATTTTTTTTATGCAGAAAGGAACTGTTTTGGTTTGTTTGAATGGTGGAGTGTCCAATCACGTGAAACTCCACCCCGCAGCCAAAATTACTACAAGCCACAGAGCAATGACAACTACACTTGAGCTCCCTAGATTTCTCCAAGAGCTGCCATTGTCTGATGCGAGAAAACCACTCCTGGAACCATTTAATCAATATTGACAGAATAAAGTATTCTATATTCATAAATTCTCTTGTTATACCTGTTTCAGGCAACACATAAAAATGTCACAGATTAGGTCTTCTTATTTTAAAAAAAAAAACCTAGCACAGAGCATACAATTTTCTGTTATCCCACCTACTGTATAGCCAATTGCTTTGCTTTAACACTGGGTTTCTTGCTGGTTGATTACATGTAGCATCCCATCTCTTGCCAGGGGAACTCAAGGCAGTTCTCAAACAGTCTCCCATCCAGCCAATGGCCTGACTGACACATGCTTAACTCCAGCAATTCTGCTCCAAAATGTGCCTTAGAGGTCATGGCTGTATGGCCGACCAGCCCAGGGTGCTTCCTACTATGATGCCCACCATAGAGAAGTCAAGGGGAACACAGCCTAGCAAAGGAAATCAGACCCCCCCCCCCAAGATGGAGGCAGCAAACAGCACCCTCTCAGCAGGACCGCCTCAGGGAGAAGCCCCGCGGAAATGGAAAAGTGCTGTTTGAGAGCACTCATACGGCCCAGTTCCTATGCATCTTGGCAGAGCATCAGCAGATATTCCAATCTCCAGCTCTTCTGCTGAAAACCCAGCTGCCCAAGAAGAGTGATTTTTTAATCTCGCCTCACAACCATCATGGCGACGCCACCTATATGGGCCATTTCTGCACCGCGTGTCTTTGCGTGCATCTTTCACAAAGAACTGTTTCCCCTATTCTGCAGTGTCAGTTCCTACTGCACAACATAAAAGCAATTGTCCTCGTAACTCAGGTTGCGTCACTGCCGGCAGTCAATGATAAATGATAGTGGCCTGAAGCCAAGGGCGAGGAACCTTACGCTGAGGGCTTAATGTGATTTCAGGTAAGTTCTGGGGGGGGGCACATTAGACAGGCAAGGGGAGCCCAAGGCAAATACATCAGGGATTCTAGCTTAGCTCTCTTACTACCAATAATCACAGCCTTGAGCAAAATGTTTCAGACTTTTATGGAGAAGGGGGTAAAACGAAAACATGCAAAAGCTGGGAAATGACCCAAGCAGAGTGTCATGGAGACGGGTCACATGGCTGTCTGGGGAATCCCAGGAGGGCTGGTGCAGGACTCCGGGAGGGCAAGTTCTGCTCCATAGCCTGAGGTTCCCCACCTCTGCCTTGAGCTGCATATTATGTCTCAGAGCCAGGAGGTTCCTTTCTGAGACAACACTAGAAGTCACGTCCCGAAGGCATCTTTTTCACGGTTCCTTTCCGAGACAACACTAGGAGAAGTCACGTCCCGAAGGCATCTTTTTCAAGCTTACCTAACGGACGTGGTTCAGTTGGAGACTGACGTTAAGCAGGGAGGATGTCCTCCAACTCAGCCAGGGAAGCCAAAGATCTGAGTGGGAAGGAAGAGCTTGGACTGCCTAGCAAGCCTCTAGGAAAAGCAGGTGTGGTGTCCGCAGTGGTACAAATCCTCCTGCAATGCCACCAGAAGAGAGACTTTACTGCCAAGGGGAAAGAGCCTGGGGGAAGGCCCTTATCTAGGTGCCGAAATGGGATGCATCCGTAGAGAAGATCCCAAGAGGAAGGGGCCCCAAGTCCCTTCACTAGGACTTTTTACACACCTGGTGAACACAGGAAGATATTATCATTTTATTTAGACTTTCAAGAGAAGCTTATGGATGCTTAGAGAATTATTATTTTCCAAATGGCCTGTTGTCATTACAAAAGCCCCTGTCGATCTTGGAAGCCACATGATCCCTTAGGATCCTTCTTTGTGCAGAAGCGTCGCTGTGCCAGTTACCTGGATTATTATATTTCTTGCCCACATATTCGAACGCAAAGAGAAGCTGAAGATCTGCTGGTTGGGAATAATGAGCGATTGCAAGGCATACCTGTACAAGGGAAGAAGTAAAAAAGATACGTAATGAACAAAAACAGCTCCCATGACTGTTTAGCAGAAAAATAGCACACTGCATGAAAAAAAAATACAGTTTTAAAAACAGGGAAAAGCTCAAAATAAGAGTCTGTCCAAACACAGCATGAGACCAAAGCCCTTAAACTTTTGTGGCTGCAACCTGACCTGGCTTTTCCTGTTACTGCCCAAAATCTGCTTTTAGATTTAGCTTAAGAACAGGTGTAGCCCCAGTATAGGACATTCATGTATTACCAATGCAAAAACTGATATAGACCCCAAAATATATTAAAATGTTATAATGAATTCCAATAATACATTATGTCAAGGCAGTGCCCTTTGTATGATAAATGTTTCATCTCTGTCAGGAGAATTTTCTATTATAAACATGAATGGGTGAGACTGAAATGGGACCTTTTAAGTTTCTAGCCTCCAGGATGAATTGCGTTAAGTGAAAACAGGTTAGGCTGGCTTTATTCTCTTCCTAAAAGCATGAGAAATCCAAGGTCACATTGGGGTTTCTGTTGCTTTGCTCTACTGCACATACTCCTAAGAAAGACCCTTTAACTGGGGAATAGCATTTAGAGACACACTTATCTCCACTATATATAAATTCCTTTTGACATGCTTCATCTTTATCAGAAATTGCCTACCACAGAGCAGAAAGGAGCAACTACAATCCCAGATTCCGAAAAGAGAGGAGAAAAGGCAAATCCAGACCCAGCGAGGGTAAACAGAACAACTCATGTTACTCTCTGAACTATATAGCCTTTGTGCCCAACATGCTTCTTAAAAACAAACCTTCAGCCTCACTACGAACAAACTATTAAAATCTATCCTGTTAGTCTGTTAGTGGCTTTTATCTGTAGGCTTCCGTGATTTGTGTAAAACATGTTATTTCAGTCTGAAATAACTCATTAAGAGTATTATGGGGTTTTCCCAACCCCAAAGTCCAAAAACCTATTTTTTCTTCAATGAATCTTGAGATCCTTTTATTGAAACAGCCTTCACCTCACCAATCCTTGTTCTAATTTGCAAGACACCCTTCATGCTCACCTTACAGACTCAAATAAATAAGCTACAGACAACAATAACCAGGGCTGAGCACCACTGCCGTATGTGTGCCTTAGTTGTTTGGAGGAAACAAAACTGGAACACCAGAAACAGCCAAAACTGAGTAGAAAACAATGGCCGTATTTATTGATTGTGAGGAATTTTAATGTAGACCCAAAATTTATATTCCTACTCCCAGCTTGGAACTGCTAGGTATTTACAATTTAGAAAGCAACTGGGGACAGTGGAGCTATTGTCAAGGGTCTTAATGGAAGCAATTTCTTAAAACCAGATTGCAAATGTCTTGGACAACAAGGAATGCCACAGAAAAGGAGAAAGGTCAACCTTTTTCTGTCTAGTGCGACAAAACATTTCAATTAATCATTGCCCTGTTTCTTCTCTGCCCACAAACTGCTTACAAAGAAAAAAAGAGAGAGTATTTTGAGATGCTCAAATTAAAGCTGCCTCCCCCACCAGCTTTCCATCAGCTTTCTGTTCCTGCTGTCCTGAAACCAGCTCAAAATAGACCAACAGCAGATCTGAGCTTTGTTTTCCTGTCAAGAGTGTTCTCTGCCCCAGCCGCTACCCCAAACAGGTGCCTTCAAATTACTGTAACAACTGTAAAAGAGAAGCGCAGAATAACTGAGGCGGAATGGGGCCTCTAAGGCCATCAAGTCCAACCCCCTGCTTCAAGGCAGGAATCCAAATCAAAGCAGACATGACAAAGGAGTGCCCAATTTTTTCTTGAATGCCTCCAACAGTAGAGTGCTCACCACCTCCCAAAGTCATCGGTTCCATCATCATACTCTTCTAACAGTTAAGAGGTTTTTCCAGATATTCAGCCTAAATCTGGCTTCCTGTAGTTTGAGCCCATTATGATCATGAGATGGCTCTTGGTCGCTTACTGAGCTTAGTTTCACTTGACTACTAGATAGCAGCTAACATAGACTGCTCTACCTGCCTTTCTGTTAGACTATAAAATAAGTAAGGTTTAGATCCAAAGAACCACCTACTTCTTCCAACTCTACTCTGATCCATGCTCCTCCCAAAAAGCCACTCCTAAGGATTAGGGGGTCTACTAGTATCTTTAAAGAGGCGCCTAGTAACTATGGGGAAGTGTAATCCATCAGGTGGGCATAAATTATAAGCAGCATAAAGAGCAGAGTCATTTGTACCCAATCTGGCATTAAAATCACCACCAATTATCATTTGACCATCATTAGTTAGCAAAAGGTTTTGAATATAGGTTTCAAGATCTTGGTAAATCCGTTCGATCTGGGCATTCCGTCTCTGGGGTGGTAAATATACATTGATGAACACTATTGTACTGTGATTAAATTTGACCTTCACTGCTGCAGCATTTTGATTAAGGGAGGGGAGTTTGGTCATTATAATATTGAGCTTAGTTGAAACCAATATAAGAAGGCCACCCTTGGCTCTGCCCCTCTTTTCACTGGGAGTGGCACTTATTTGGTGGGCAGAGTAACCATTAACTTCAGTTTCCCCTATGCTTTCCCCCTGTCGTATAGGCTGATACATTGATTTAAGGTGCAGCTGAGCCTCTCTTTCTGAGCCTTGACAAGGGAGGGAGGGAGGACCTGAGACCCAAAGCCACTCACCTCAGAGAAAGGAGCAATAGCAAGACAGGGCACCTTGCAAAGCATGTACTTATCTATTTCACAGAGTGCTGTGCCTAGGATAGGTAAGGTTTAGTCAAGTACAGCTGCTGGTCCTGCCAAGAAAACCGCATCCCCCACAGAACATGCATGACAAGAACATTCCAGTTGCACCATCAAGCACAATGAGTGTCTCCCCAGCTTCAAGAGAAAAGTGTTGCTTTTGATTTCCACTTAAAAACATATTACTTCCTTCAGAGCTGCAGACTAAAATCTCCCATGGCCTCGGTTTCCACTCCACTTACTTCCATTCCCTCAGCTTCCTCCCACGCCCCCATGACTTGCCTTCCTCTGGAGACTTTTCAGATAGAGTTTGACAGGAAAAACAGCCGAGGGAAAAAAAAACCAGCAAGAAGGTTCATGCCCCTCACTTTGTCACCAGCTCATCACTCCAAAGAGTCAAGCAAATTCATATAATGCTGTTAGTCTGTTGCTGCCCCCTCCTCCAATCCGTTTGGCCCCTTCTCTAGCGACTTTCGGAGTCACTAAAAAAAACCTTGCTATTCAGGCAGGCATTCCAAAATATTATATCTGCGGACTCAGATGAATCTATTTAGCCTTAATTTGAATAATTCTGCCATTCTAAATGTTCTCATGTAATTGTATTTGTATGCAATTCGACTGTACTGCTTTTGCATTTTATTATTTTCTTTTTTTAGTTTTGTCAAATTGGTATTTTAATTATGTTGTTTTATATTGTATAGAGTGGGCCTTGGCCAGATGGCCAGCATAGAAATGAAATGAATAAACAAACACATGCATGCCTCTGGGAGCTACTGGACTACAATAGCTATCACCACCACCACTTTCAGCTATGCTGCCCAAGGTTGATGGGAGTCAGAAGACAACAATATCTGGAGCACAACATCTGTTCTTCACTTCTGATTTGAGCAATGATATCGATTCACTGGACCCAGAAGCTTCTCCATTCGACAAATTACGAGTTGATATCTCTCATTCTGTACACCAAGGGGTTTTGTTTTTGTTGTTAAACACAACTCACAGCAGCTTGTTCCCCCAAACATACAAACTTTTCAAAAATTCCAAAAATGCATGTTCTAATCTGCTTTTAAATTAAAGAGGATTTGGAGTGGGATGTAAGACCACAAAAACCTAACCCATACTAAGAGCTATAGATAAAAAATAAAGGGTAAGGGGAGTACAAGGTGTCGAAATTGCAGATAAGTCACAAGCACCCGGTGGGGACGAGAGTGTTTCCTCTCTCAGCAAAGCAAATCTGTTATTAGTGAGAATGCTGGAAGCTATAGGTAATGTAGCAAGGTTACTCACAGGACAGTTGGCTGTTACAAACTCATCCATCTTCAGTTGTTTCACCGCCCTTGCAAGCGGCTGCTCCGGGCTGGCTCTGCATCGTTTACCCCCCATACAGTTCAGCCTTCTCTTTTCAACAACTAGCTACCAAAAGTCCAACTCAGAGCTACAAGTGTAGCAATTACGCCTTGCTGCAATTAATCTTGAATGGAAGAGTGGGAGCAGTAAAGCCAGAGATAACAGCGTCTTGTTATCGTAGCAGCAGCTTCAAGGTTTGTAAATAAGTACTTTAAACTCCCAACCAGGAAGAGAGAGAGCTTGAGACTTCAGAGACAGATTTGGATGTGTCCCAAAAAGAGTCACTTGAGCACCTAAGTGCTCTGAAAATATTAAAAATAAAAATTAAAAAGATTAAAAGGATTAAAAAGATTAAAAGGGGAGCAGAGCTTGATACAAACGCTGTTCCTCCCTCAAACCGGAACCGGAACTCCCTATTTGAAGGATTGTATCGGTCTACTAGTAGAACATGGGAGGATGTACAGAGTAGGACAAATAGTGGGTGAAGCGCTGGAGGGCAAAAGGGGTACACAAACACACACAGAGCACATGGACAGCCATGCACAGGGCACTGGAGATCTAAGCTAAAATGTGCAAATGTATGCTTTACCCCCTGCAAGACCATTCAAGTGGACTATACTGGCAATAATTGGGGGAGGTCTCTGTTTGCCAAACAAACAAACAAACAAACAAACAAAAAACAAAACAAAAAAACCCAACTTGTTTTTGCTCAAATAAAATCACCACTCCTCCCCTGAGAACCTCCAGAATCCTCCTGGAAGGCAGAGGAGGGCAAAGTGCTGGCTCCCAGATGCTACTGGTTGGCAGTCACAGCATCCCTCACCCCTGGCGAGGCTGGCACGTGAGCCCTCATCTCTGGAGGACGGCTGTTTGCTTTCCCCCTGTCGTATAGGCTGATACATTGATTTAAGGTGCAGCTGAGCCTCTCTTTCTGAGCCTTGACAAGGGAGGGAGGGAGGACCTGAGACCCAAAGCCACTCACCTCAGAGAAAGGAGCAATAGCAAGACAGGGCACCTTGCAAAGCATGTACTTATCTATTTCACAGAGTGCTGTGCCTAGGATAGGTAAGGTTTAGTCAAGTACAGCTGCTGGTCCTGCCAAGAAAACCGCATCCCCCACAGAACATGCATGACAACAAAATTCCAGTTGCACCATCAAGCACAATGAGTGTCTCCCCAGCTTCAAGAGAAAAGTGTTGCTTTTGATTTCCACTTAAAAACATATTACTTCCTTCAGAGCTGCAGACTAAAATCTCCCATGGCCTCGGTTTCCACTCCACTTACTTCCATTCCCTCAGCTTCCTCCCACGCCCCCATGACTTGCCTTCCTCTGGAGACTTTTCAGATAGAGTTTGACAGGAAAAACAGCTGAGGAAAAAAAACCAGCAAGAAGGTTCATGCCCCTCACTTTGTCACCAGCTCATCACTCCAAAGAGTCAAGCAAATTCATATAATGCTGTTAGTCTGTTGCTGCCCCCTCCTCCAATCCGTTTGGCCCCTTCTCTAGCGACTTTCGGAGTCACTAAAAAAAACCTTGCTATTCAGGCAGGCATTCCAAAATATTATATCTGCGGACTCAGATGAATCTATTTAGCCTTAATTTGAATAATTCTGCCATTCTAAATGTTCTCATGTAATTGTATTTGTATGCAATTCGACTGTACTGCTTTTGCATTTTATTATTTTCTTTTTTTAGTTTTGTCAAATTGGTATTTTAATTATGTTGTTTTATATTGTATAGAGTGGGCCTTGGCCAGATGGCCAGCATAGAAATGAAATGAATAAACAAACAAACAAACACATGCATGCCTCTGGGAGCTACTGGACTACAAAGCTTATCACCACCACCACTTTCAGCTATGCTGCCCAAGGTTGATGGGAGTCAGAAGACAACAATATCTGGAGCACAACATCTGTTCTTCACTTCTGATTTGAGCAATGATATCGATTCACTGGACCCAGAAGCTTCTCCATTCGACAAATTACGAGTTGATATCTCTCATTCTGTACACCAAGGGGTTTTGTTTTTGTTGTTAAACACAACTCACAGCAGCTTGTTCCCCCAAACATACAAACTTTTCAAAAATTCCAAAAATGCATGTTCTAATCTGCTTTTAAATTAAAGAGGATTTGGAGTGGGATGTAAGACCACAAAAACCTAACCCATACTAAGAGCTATAGATAAAAAATAAACATGCTGGCACCAACCCTAAACATAGTCTAAGGTACAGAGCATGTTGACTTTGCCTTGGAAACAACCATAGGAGACAGAAGGAAGCAGGACAGCCTCAGCTCTTCCCTTCTGTTTCTTGTAGGTTTGTTTGTGGCATTAACCTTCTTTCACACTTTTTAACTTTCCAGCAGAAAGGGAAAAAAAGGTTTAAGAAGGCTGGCAACACATGCAAGAACTCACATGCCTTGGAGACCCATGTAAACAGTTCTCCCCCACTCCCTCAAAAAACAAAAACAAAAACAAAACAAAACAGGGATCGCTTTTCAGGAGAAAAGAACATATATAGGCTTCTTCCTCTTTCAGAAAAAAATTATGGAAGGTTAAATCTGAAAATATCCAGAGGGAAATACCATTGGGGGGGAGCTGAGATTGTCAGGCTTCCAAGAAGAAATTATGACGTAACTCAATGTGAACAAAACGCCAGATCTGTGTGTCACCTCCCACTCTGCTTTCTGTGAAGAAAAGGCAGGACAAGAAGGCACCGAGTCCATTGGTACAGATATATGATTCCTGATTTCCGAACCATGCAAGTTCTCCCTTTTGCTGGTTACGTCTTAGCCAGGGTTGTTCTCCTAAGGATCTGAAGCAAGGGTGGCAAGTGAGTTTGCAACAGATTCTGAGTAGCTTTAGCCATATGCACCACCAAAGATGCACAACAACCTCATCACGACTGATGCACGCTGCTATTGAAAAGTGGTACGCTCCCAGTCTCTGGCTCAGGGTTGGGATATTAGGCATGTTGCATCTGACCCTTCAAGCTTTTGTCATGTTCATCCTCCTGCCACAAACTTCGCACTTCCTGAATCATGGGCCTTCATTCCAAAGCTTACGAGTACCACCACCACAGAAGTATAAGCAGGGTGGTGCATTAATGCCAAGGAAACATGGGAAACTGTCTTTGTTCATGTGCACAGTGACTGTGTCCAGTGCTTTAAACATCTCGTATTTTCATTTCAAGAACAACCACCGATTCTAGGTTGCTAAAACAGAAAACGCATTCAAGACTAGATTGACTCAGCCCATATCTATTTCAGGACATTAGATATTTACTAATTCTACTTAAAGAAACTCCACCAAATTCAAGACCTTGCCTCAACATACAACTGTGCAAGGAATTTAAAACCAAGAGAGTAAATATACTGGTACAGTATAAGCCACACTGAATGGTCTTCTTGTTCTCTCTTTAGCCAAGCCCAAACATTCATTCAGCAGTTTTTAAACAAGAGCAGAATGCTCAGCATCTGCCAGAGAAAACTCTTGACTCCAACTTTCCAGGAGCTACGTGTGAATTTTGATGTCCCAACCTGTAAGCACTACAGGGGTAAAGGACAGGCACTGTTAGCACGGAACTAAGAGTTGCCATTTCTAGCATTAACAAACTTTCCACTATGAATGTCTTGGTCTAATACACAATTTGATTCCAGTCTCAGGAGTTTTAAAATGAATGGCTAGAGTATCTAATCCATTAATCCCCCAATTCTCAAACTGGAAGGTGGGCAGTGGGCACATCTGCCAGGACACATAATGCACCCTGGGAGCCTATATTGGGAGAAAGAAATATAAATGAAATGCAAACATAAAGAAATAGTCATGTATTTAACAATGAATCAAGCTAGCCAAAGAGGAACAAGTTAAAATTGCTCCCTTCCTGGTGTGGCCTCAGTGCAAATGAGAAACACCGTCCCCTCCACTCACTACAACTTACAATCAAGAGAAACATCTCAGGAAATCCCGCCATGCCTCTCCCCAAATCACAGCTAAGTTTACCTTCGGTTATCAGACATTTGGATGTACTGCACCAAACAGACAAGAGGGCCTGATGCTAGAGGGATCAGGGAAAGCAAAGCCATTTAAGAGGATAGCCTTAAACATCAGGAAAAGGAGAAACAGGGTGCCCCCACACATTAGACTAGACTGTGGTAGAGATGCTGCTGCTTCTCCAAGCATAAAGTATTAAAGGAACAAAAGGTAATATGCTTTGGAAAACTGGCTGCCACAAAGGCAGTACGCTTGTACAATTCTAAAAGCTTTGAAACCATAACAACAAACACTGCTCAAGGGTTAAGAACACACATTGGACCAGTTCAGATTAGTGTGTTTCCATCGTTTACCTAAGATATGTGTTGGACCACACCCTTTGCTCTTCCCTTTGCAGTCACACCACAATGTCTGTAAACCATAGCTTCCTGTTTCATTCAGATGGAAGAACCTTGCAGGTGCTAAGTTGGTGAACAGAAGTTGGGAACAGTGTACATACAAACACTGGCTGTGTTCATCGATTCAGATTTAAGTTCCGTTAAGCCAAGATGCATACACATTTTCAGTCTACAGAAGCAACCTTTTGCCTCTCCCTTTGGCATACCGTCATGACATCATAGTTCCTTGTTTTGTCTGAACCAAGAAACTGAGGTTAACAGCTTCAAAAGAAGCTTGTAGTGTAAGTGGAATAAGATCCTGGCCTGCTCTGAAACTAGTAAACCCTAGTTCTTCAAAGATATAAACACTACTTCTAGTGTAAGGAATGAAGTTTGTCTGGCCCTTAGCACTGATATTCACGCTAATATCTGTGGACGGTCTGGACTTTAGCCAGAATAACACTGCACTGATATTCACGCTAATATCTGTGGACCATGGACACAAAGAGACATTCAAGACAAAAACTAGACCTGCGGCAGTACCTTTTTTGCACTTTCTGGTCCTGCTTCATCAAAACGAAACCGGACAATACGGAAGTCTTTGCAATAAATAATTAGTTCTGTTGGATTAAATTTAAGTTTTTGATTGGGGCCCAGAACCTTCTGTTTCCTTTTTGTGTCATTTACTGAAAGAAAAAAAGATTCAGAAGAGGCACAAAATTACATATATATTTTTTTAAAAAACAAAAAAACGAAGCATGCAGAACACTACCAGGAACTCAACACTAAAAGCATTCACTAAACAATGAATTTTAAAAAGTGCACTGTTGCACAGTGGACTTCGTAATAAGCATTCACGTATCTCATCTCCCTCAAGCTGCCCTTGTCACACTCGAAGTTGAATTATAAAAGTGACCCTGGAGATATGTTTTTTACGAAGAAACCTGCCTTCAAGTGGAGTTTGGCTCAAATAACTTTCTAGCTTTATGCTTCCCTTTAGAAACGTCTTGGCGCTCCTGTCCTCTTGAGAAAGCAGGCCAAACAGATCTCTGATCCGAGATCACTTGCTGAGATCATTTGACAAGGTGCAGCTTAAACCACCCAGCCCTTATGAGGCATCTTCACTTTCAACAGCTATATATATGCTCCTTATTTCTTAGTTCCATCTTATTTGAACTGTATGGCACCTCTGGAAGCCTACCGCAGGAGGCGGCAAGTACCGTATATCATGACATCGAGCTTGGCAGAAACACCCCAGGGGAGTCGTCTCTTGTGGGTTTGCATTATCGACACACTGACGTTTTTAAAGGCTTGATCTCAAGAGTGTTTCCCAAAAGTTGCAATGACCGGAATGATGTTCCTTGACATGAAAGAAGGCTCATAGCTGCAGCTTTATGTCACAATCCTATACACATTTACCTGGTGGTAAGTTACATCCGATCAAGTTGCAGGGATTATGAACCAATCCATACATATATACAAGCTGTTTGTTGAAATTTAACTACACTGAGATAATTTTATCTTTGATAAGCAACCGTTTCATACCTACCTGTGACTATTTGCTCAATGCATGTTAGTGCAACATCATGTTCTCCCAGGAGAAGGTTCCTATACTGAAACTTCTGAAATAAAGGAGATACGCTTACAATAATCATCATTCTTATGGCTACTAATTTTGCAGATAAAGTATGAGCCCTGTTTTCCATAATCACATATAATCTTCTGGAAACTGGGATTTAAAATGTTTATAGAGATACTGGGCGGAATACTTAAGGAAGTCTCTTATGGCTGAAATGGGTTGTACAGGATGAGCACCCTGACTCTTCCCCACCCCAAACAGCACTCATCCAATACGGGCAATTCAGGACAGGGAACCCATCTTGGTCCAAGCAGGTGGTGTGGTTTATGCTGGTGCTCACAGAGGCCTAGGAGCAACCCTGCTGAAGGATGCAAGCCATCCCACAAGACACAGGTATACGAGTCTTCACACTGGATTTAGGCCCACCAGCTCACGTGTCAGTATACTGTGGGCATTTACATCCATATCCTGGCACACAGCAGTTGCCAGCATAAGCTCACCTGAAACGGCATGGGATCATCGGTAATGAAGGATATCTTGAAGTTGCTGCAAATGAGCTTCCCCCATAAATCATACTGGCTTGTATCAGTTGCAATGCATTTCCTCACAAAGTTCACTTCATTCACTACAATTTCACCTTGAAAAAGAAAGCACAAAATAAAGGCAGGTTAATTCAACAAATGAATGTTTGCTTAATGGCAACTGCTAGCCAAAAAAAAGTTCTTGACTATAACTTGTACTTTTAAGAAAGCTGATTGGAAAGGGGGGGGGGAAGGGCTGCTTTTAATACCAGAAGTATGAAACACAAAAATATACCTAAAAAATGAAATATGCATTCTAACCTGGCCTCCAAAACTTTTAATTTCAAGAAGTGTACTCGCAGGTTTAATCAAAAGCAAGGCATAGTACAAGATACAAAGCTACCTCTCCCGTTCTTTATTTCAAGAGTGCTCCAGAGTTTTCCTCATGCTGCCAAGTTTGTTTATATATTCTCTGGTTTATAATAACTAATAAATACACAATAAGAGGCTCCGCTTTCCAACGGCTTTAAATTCAGCCTTTAAATTCATCCCTGCTGGCCAGTCATATTACTTGCACATGCTTAACTACTGTTTATAACCCTGATTTTGTGCCAGCTCCTCCACTGGCTACCAGTGTTCTTTCAGGCCCAATTTAAAGACCTGCTTGTCATCTTTACGACCCCAACTGGCTTGGGGCTATGTTATCTGATGGACCAGCTGCACCTTTGTTTGTTTGTTTGTTTGTTTCATTCATTCATTCATTCATTCATTCATGTGGTTACCAGTGTTCTTCCAGGCCCAATTTAAAGTCCTGCTTGTCATCTTTATGGCCCCAACTGGCTTGTGGCTATGTTATCTGAAGGACCAGCTGCACCTTTGTGTTTGTTTCATTCATTCATTCATTCATTCCCTACCTTTTAGCAACAAATCTCCATGCAAGGTATAATCAATAATATTGTTTGAAAAGAATCTAGAAGAGTAAAAATATTTTAAAACAAATGTACACTTTTAAAAACAAATTTACAACTCAAACAAAGCAGAAGCCACCAAATTGAATTCTGTGATCTCACTAGGCGCCAAATGTTTGGGTGAACTGTCAGACTTTAACTTGGTGCTGAAATAAAGACATCAGTACCAACTGGGCTTCCAAAGGGAGGTCATTCCACATCTAAGGCACTTACAGATATCATGCACCACTTTCAAGAAGGGAACACAGAAGAGGAAATGACTGTATATATGAGTAGACACACTCACTTAACCATCTACACCCTAAACTGTTCAGGGCTTTGATAGTCATTATCAGCAGCTTGCCTGCAGACCTGTATGAATATGCCTGGCCCCCAAGACGGGTGCGAGGGGCCAAGGTCAGATACCTACTGCTAAAATCTATTAAGATACAGTCACATCCATGGCTGGCCTTCTCTGTAGTGGCCCCGTTTCTACTGAATGTTTTACCTTGGCATGTATACATGGGTCCCTCTGTGTTTAAGGCAAAACAAAGTATGCTGCTTCAAACAGGCCAAAGATTTGGCTTTTCTACTGTCTTCACAATTAAGCTACATTATACATTTTAGTTAACAGTATTTCGTTCTATAGGTTTAGCAATTTATTGAGCTCTATGAATGCATTAAGAAGCTGGACAAAGAAAAGGATGACCAACCTTCCACTCTTATCTGCAAGGGTGGTTTAATATGCCTAATTAGTCATCAAGCCCAAGGAAACTAACTATTCACTTCATCCTCCTAAACCAAACCTTTAAGATAAAGGAAATAGGATAAACAGTCACGAGAAACAAGACAAAACCCGAAAGGTATTTTTGCATATTTGTCAGACGCAGAACTTAGAAGACCATTTTCAGACAGGAAAGGTAAACAACAGAGCTATTTGCAGGTATAGGCCTGCTATAATGCTTTCTCTAAATTGAGGCAGTGCGGTTCCCTCCCCTTTCCGTTTCAAAGGCACAGACTGTTCCAAGTGCAGACCGGTAGTCAATAACATGTGACTTGGCCAGACAAAAGCAAATGCAAATGAGAAGAAAGCAGGCTGAATTAAAGCTGCCAAGAAGCTAGAAAATGCCCTACAGAATTACTTTGAAGGAATTTATACACATCTGCACTACTTTGGCCACTGAATTGCATCCAGATCTGATATCTAAAGAATTAATACAAAAGAATTACTCTGAAATGTAAGTTAAAATTTTATATGCACTTATTAAGGAAACACATAATCGGCTAGTCCTCTAGCCTGTTATATAACAGGCACCCCTGAAAGCATAGCAGGCCAATGCCTTACAGCAGCTGTGGTCCTGCTCCAGTGTCTACTCAGACGATCTAGCTGGTCCTTGGATAAACGGAGAAAAGCAAGCCAGCACAAAAGATAGTAGTTCCTAAACACAGGAAATAATTTTAGTCAGCAATGTGATGGGGAAGAAAGGGGAAGAGGCACTATGATCATGCATTCTATTTATTTATTTTACAATTACACTCAAGATAGTGGTTCCTAAACACAGGAAATAACTTTAGTCAGCAATGTGAAATTAGAAACCTGGAATGATGGGGAAGAAAGGGGAAGAGGCACTACGATCACGCGTTCTATTTATTTATTTTACAATTACACTCTTCTTCCAAAGAGCCACAGCTACCTGCAAGAAGGACTAAGCCAGCAAAAAGGATGATGGGCCCAAGGTCACCTGCTGAGCTTGGCAACAGAGCAGGAATGGAAATCCATCAACATTGCCCACTCTCACCTACATTTCCTGCAGAGTCTCTTCCAAAAATCACTTTTCAATTAAAACACCATCCCAAGTAGTTGGATTCTTAGTTAGGCCAGACTTTTTTTTACTCTTTAAATCTATTACAGTATTTTTTCCAAAAACAAACCCTTTTTTAAAAACAAAAAGTATTCTTTATCCCTCTTTTCTTTAGCGTTAAGAAGAATATAAGCACCTGTTGAATTAAACCCAGCAGATTATATAAACAGATAAATTTACTGAGCAGGGTCTACAGATGAAGTATGAATAAGACAATGCCAGCCAAAGAACCTGGCATCCGCCAAATGTTCTCTTGGGGTGATGGGATTTACATTAAACTACACAGTTATGTAAGTCCTCTCCCTTCTTAGAATTTTGAGATGAACCAGAAACAGTGGGACAAAGCTCTTCAGCTGAGGCATAGCATTTGAAATGACTTTTATGTACTGAGCCCTGAAGCCAGTTAAATACTGTACTGTTTATTTATATTGCATGAATGGGGGCAGTATAAAGAAAACTTGTTCATCTATTTTGCAGTAAGCAGTGGAGATAAATACATGGAACAAAGGGCCACTGTTCATTGAAGATTGCTTTCACCAAGCCCCCTCCAGCATTTTTGGTTTGTTTACTGCTTCAAGGGTCTACATTCAACTTGTTGAGTACACCCCCAACAGAATAAACTTATACCTAAAGAACTGCAAAGGAATGAGTCTATATGCCACACAACGAAAGAGAAGCAACTGCACCAACACTACAGATAAATGCAACAAGACAGGTCAAAGAAAGGCAAATACAGTAGACATCTTCTAGCCCCATCTGAAATACCTTCTTGAAACTTTATCAAGATTTTCTTCTTTGCTACATGTTTCAATAGAAAGTAGTCTCCTACTTGCAATGACTCACCTCTCTTATTTAATGCTTTAAAATTTTTGTACAAAGCATCATAATCTGTGACTAAGACAAAAAAGTTACTCATTTCTTTGGTACAATTATTTCAAACTCAACAACTCATATGTTCCAATACATTTTAAGGAGTTGATATCACTGTGTGCAATCAACTAACAGGAAAAAATACTAGGATATGACCTGGCAAAAAAAAGCATGGCAGCAAAGCACCGTGAATGGTATTTTCATTGGAGGTGGGCCCTTGGGCCTCTTCATCTAATGAAAACCCAAAGCAAACAGCTGCCAAGTTGCAGGATTTACTCTTTCTTGAAAACAAACGTCAAAAGCAGCTCCCTAATGAAAGCAAGGTCTGTGGTCTTTAAAATGTATTGGTAATCCCAAGTAAATATTTACTATTATTATTATACGTTGAAACTTTTTAAACTGCCCTTCACCTGTATAAATAGAAAGGTACAGAAGCAGAATTCAAACAATAAAATCAAATTAAATGAATAAACACTCTAAAAATATGTCCACAAAATTAGGAATAGCAACAAAAACAATCAAGCAGATTAAGTCAGGCAATTAAAATGCCTTGGCAAACAAGAGTGTTTTAAGCGGGCAACGAAAGAGCTGCCCTCCCCCGTGCCAATTACTTACATTTCATCGCACGTATGCTCCATCTGTTCTCGGAATACTACATACCAGTTTAATCTCTCCCAACAGAAAGACTCCACGGGTTAAGGACTGGCCCAACACAAAATTCTGCTCGAGGCAAAGACCAAGGCCCCATCTCTCTTCATTCCAAGAACAAAAGCTGAGCGGACAAGCAGTAGACGCTTCCTTCAACCATGAGGAATGGGCAGTGTCCCACACCACTGGTTCTTAGCCTTTTCCATCATAGTACATCCCACTAATCACAGTAGTTACAAAATGTTAACAAGCATCTTGTTATTGTATTTCTCATTTACAGTTCACTTCTAAAGAGAGTGTTTCCTATCTTGAACTAATACTCACTGGGATCCAAAAGAGGATGCGAGGTCATTCCTGGAGCCCGTGGTGGGCAGAGGTGAGCTGCCTCAGGCAATGTCTCTGTTTGGGCGCCAATTGTGGGTGATCATGGAACAAAGGAAGGCTAATTGCCTTAGAGAGAGAACAAAGCAGTCGACAGCGGATGTCTGAGCCAGCGGAGCCTACTGACAACACCCTGAGAGTTCTTTCATTTACTTAGCATGATTACATAGTCTGTTATGAGAGAGACAGATAGGATACTAGTTACCTAACTGTAACTAGGATTGGCTAAAATAACCCTTTGATCTTATGTTCTACCTCTAAGCGAAAGGGCAGAATAAGGGGCTACCCTGCCTGCTGGCAGCTTCGGCTTCCTACCAGGAGTGTATGCACATCACTGAAATAGAATGCAGCCACAACCTTTAAGCAAAGGCTAAGGCCATGTAATAAGTGAACAGATTAAGAAAGAAG